ATTATAAAAAGCACTACAGTGACAGTATATATGAATTTTTTTACTCTTAAAATCCTTTTCACTATGTAATTTTGATATTTTTACACTTAAACATTTTTTCCATGTTATGTTAAAAATTATATTTTCATAAGCAGCATAGCAGTCCATCATATGAATATTTCTTAATTTACTTGTTATGTTAGACATTTAGGTTGTTTTTTTTGTTTATTTTTTATAGAAGTATAGTTAATTTACAATGTTGTGTTAGTTGCAAGTGTACAGCAAATTGATTCAATTGTGTGTGTATGTGTATTCTTTTTCAGATTCTTTTCCATTATAGATTATTACAAGATACTGAATATAGTTCCCTGTGCTATACAGTAGGTCCTTGTCATTTATCTGTTTTATATACAGTAGTCTGTCTATGTGTCTGTAATCCCCAACTTCTAACTCCCTCCCGCCCCATCCCCTTTAGTAACCATAAGTTTATTTTCTGTGTCTATGAGTTTATTTCTGTTTTGTCAATAAGTTCATTTGTATCATTTTTTAAGATTCCGCATAGAAGTGATGCCATGATATTTGTCTTTCTCTGACTTACTTCAGTTAATATGATAATCTCTAAGTCCATCCATGTGGCAGCACTTGGCATTTCATTCTTTTTATGACTGAGTAATATTCTATCTTGTATATATGCCACATCTTCTTTATCCCTTCATCTATCGACCAACATTAGGTTGCTTCCATGTCTTGACTGTTGGAAACACTGCTGAAATGAGCATGTATCTTTTTGAACCCTGTTTTTCTCTGGCTTTATGCCTGGGAGTGGGATTGCTGGATCATATGGTAACTCAGTTTCTAGTTTTTTTAAGGAACCTCTATACTATTTTCCATAGTGGCTGCACCAGTTTACATTCTCATCAACAGTGTAAGAGGATTCTCTTGTCAGCCTCTCCAGCATTTGTTGTTTGTAAATTTTTTCAAAATAATTTTATTTATTTTTGGCTGTGCTGGGTCTGTGATGCACTGGCTTCTCATTGCAGTGGCTTCTCTTGTTGCAGCTCCTGGGCTCTAGAGCATATTCTCAGTAGCTGGGGCACTTGGGCTTAATTGCTCCATGGGAGGTAGGATTTTCCCAGATCAGGGGTTGAGTGCATGTCTCCTGCATTGGCAGGCAGATTTCTATACCACTGAGCCACCAGGGAAGCCCTGATTTTTTTTATTATGGTCATTCTGACTGGTGTGAGGTGATACCTCATTGTAGTTTGGAGTTGCAGTTCTTTTAATAATAATTATCGATATTCAGCACCTTTTCATGTGTGTTTTGGAACATCTGTATGTCTTCTTTGGAGAAATGTCTATTTAGGTCTTTTGTCCGTTGTTTTTTTTTTGTTTTTTTTTTTTTTAAATTTTTTAGGCTGTGTGAACTGTTAGGTTGTTCCTCATTACTGTTCTTTAAAAAATTTAAAAAGCCTTAAAGAAGATTTTATTTTAAATGGTTGCCTTTAGAGACATTTGAAGAGTTTGAATTACTAAAGTGTTAAAGGTTGGAATGATTATGAATATATTCTTGGTCTACAGTGCCAAGTTGCTTAACAAAGGTTTTCACGCTGTTTATATTTTGATTAACTTTTTTTATGAATTGTTTGTTTATGTTCCCTTGGGTGGCCTTTGTGCTTTTAATTGTTTCCTGCACGGACCCTGCAGGGTCCCCAGGGAGGGAGGAGGGATGGTGAGAAGGCTTCCTGTGGTTGTCCCGTGGACTGATACTTACCAGTCAGGACCAGAGGTGCTTCATGTTCTACAGCGAGTAGGATGGGCCTCGCCAGTGTTTTACAGGAAGGAAACCAGCACGTCACGTTTGGAAATATTTCCCCCAATTTTTTACTTTCCTAATTTCCCTTTGGAAAATAGAAATAATGCATTCTTTCATAAGATCAAATCTGTTTGTCTCCATCATTTATTTCTTTATTATTTGTTGTTCAGTCACTAAGTCGTGCAGTCCCAAGGACCACACCACACCAGGCTGCCCTGTCCTCCACTATCTCCTAGAGTTTGCTCAAGTTCATGTCCACTGAGTTGGTAATGCTATCTAATTGTCTTATCTTCTGCACAGCTCCTTTTGCCTTCAGTTTTTCCCAGAGTCAGATCTTTTACAGTGAGTCAGCTCTTCACATCAGGTGGCCAAAGTATTGGAGCTTTGGCTTGAGCAACAGTCCTTCCAATGAATATTCAGGGTTGATTTCCTTTAGGATTGACTGGTTTGATATCCTTGCAGTCCAAGGGACTCTAAATCTTGAATGCTCTTTTGAAGAGTTACTTTTACAGGTCTGAATTTGTCATAGAAAACTTGGAAAATGAGAAAATTAAAACAAAAATCGTCTATGACTTTCACTTAGAAATAGGCTCTAAATATTTTCACATATTTTCTTCTATTTTATTTTACTTTGAAGACATGTCTTTCTTTAAATTGGAAACTAATATGTGAACATATTCTTGTTGCAAAAAATCAAACATTATAGTTAAAGACCCTCATTGACTTCCATCCTTACTCCAGTACCCCTGCAGTAAGTAGCCCTACTAGTAAGTAGTTTGAAGTTTTGGTATTTATCTTAAGACCTTTCTTTCTGTGGAAGCAGAATATTATTTTAGGGTATTAAAAAAAAATACTTGAATGCCGCTTTGTTTTTTCTTTTCACCTAAACCGGTGTTTTGGATAGCGTTCGTAAAGACTTTTTAAACTGTTTTATAGTATTAAATAACATGTATATACCACAATTTACTCAGATGTTATCTCATTTGGGGACATTTTGGGTGTTTGCTTTTAATTATTGTTATTGCATTGTTGCAGAAAAGCATTCTCACACATGCCTATTCTTTCTTGTATGTTTATTGATTTATTAAATATTGGTTTCCTGCCATAATCAAGTACTGTTTGAGTTACTTCAGAATTAAGAGGGGAGCAAAACTGAAAAGGTCTCTCACATCATGAAGCTTATATTTTAGTAAGAGGAAAATATATAAAAACTTAAAATATCAAGTAGCAATAAATGCTAGAAAGAAAAGTAGAGCAGAATAAAGAAATATAAAGTGCTGGAGGATTAGGGCCTGCTTCTGTGAATGTACTGGCAAAGAATTATTTCCATGAGAGGGTGATACTTGAGCACTAACTTAAGTGGAGACATGAACCATGTGAAGATCTGGGGTTAGAGCATTCCTCAGAGGGCATAGTAAATGTAAAAGACTTCACAAAGGATAGGCCTTGGCTGTTTGGTCTTCCCAGGTGGTGCACTGGTAAAGATTCCACCTGCTGATTCAGGAGATGTGGATTCGATTCAGGAGATGTGGATTCGATCCCTAGGTTGGGAAGATCCCGTGGAGAAGGGAATGGCTACTGGAGTGGCCAGTATTCTTGCCTGGGAGATCCCATGGACAGAGGAGCCTGGTGGGCTACTGTCCATGGGATTGCAAAGAGCATGACTGAGCATGCATGCACACGCTTTTGAAGAACAGCAGGCTCTCCAGTGTGGCTGCAGCCAGCGTGGTAATGTCCCATAAAGTTGTAGAGATTAACGTGAGCTGAAGTGTTTAGGACCATGCTGTCCAGTACAGGAGCCACCAGCCATATGTGGTTATAGAACATTTGAAATGTGGCATAAACACTGATTTCTGGAAATTCCCTGGCAGTCCAATGTTTAGAACCTGACTCTTCTGCTGCAGTGGCCCAGGTTTGACTCCTGGTCATGGAACAAAGATCCCACAGGGCCTCACAGTAAGGCAAAAAAAAAAAAAAAACCCGCTTGATTTCCACGACTTGTAAGACTTGGTAACATGGCAAATCATTCCATTATTCTTGCCTGGAAAATCCCATGGACAGAGGAGCCTGGCAAGCTACAGTTCATAGGGGTTGCACAGAGTCAGATATGGCTGAATCAACTTAGCACAGGATAGTAACAGAAAGAGAATGTGAATTATCATTAATAGCATGTTATGTTGATTAAATGTTGAAATAATATTTTGGACATACTGAGTTCAATAAAATTTATGTTTTATTCACTGGTAGTAGCTGGGTTGGGCAGTGGTGTTTACTGTTTTGAGAGAATCAGGGGTAGAGAAATAAGAATTTTATTTAAAATGATATTTATCTATTTTTGGCTGTGCTGGGTCTTCCCTGCTGCTCGGGCTTTTCTCTGGTTGTGGCAAATGCGGGGCTACTCCTCGCTGTGGTGCACGGGCTTCTTGCAGAGGCTCCTCTTAGGGGCGCGCTGGCTCCAGGGCTCGAGAGCTGAGCGGTCGCAGCTCCCAGGCTCTCGAGCGCAGGCTCAGTACTTGTGGTGCACGGACTTAGTGCTGTGCAGCGGGTAGGATCTTTCTGGACTGGGGATCGAACCCGTGTCTCCTGCATTGGAGGAGACACCAGGAGCCCCAAGAATTTTGTTTTAAATAAAGTTTTAACAAAGTTTTACTTTGTTTTAACAAAGTAAATTTAGTGTAACATAACATACCAGAAACTACGCAAATTCTAAGTGGAGTTTAATGTTTTCCCAAAGTAAACTTACCCATGTAAGCAGCACTTAAACAACAGCACAAAAAAAAAAAACAACAGAGCAAACGGCTATCCTAGTAGCTTCCACTTATACTTCTAACTCCATAAATTAGTGATAGCATTTATTGCAATTTCAAAGTCTCAGAATTATAGGATTGTTTACAGTATGCCTTAGAATTGAGACAAAAAATAATCAGATATTTTGTCTAAAAGGTTAAGGGTATTAGGAATTAGTTTCTAAGCTTTCATAACATTTACCTGTTTTTCAAATTAGGAGTTCTTAAGAACACGGTAAGGAAATCAACTGTAATTGTAAACAATTTGGTATGTTTTGGGCACTGCTATCTATACTATACTCCTTTTCTGAGAATGAAAATCTTTGGGATATTGTGGCTAAACAGCTAACTTTAGAAGTTTTTTGTGGAGGGAAATAATTAAATCTCTAAATTTCCTCTTTTTTTTCTGCCTCCAAATGTAGAGAATTTAAGAAGGCCTGCACAAGTTATTTAGAAGATAAAAGATTTTAAAAAAAGATAAAAGATAATCAGGTACTAAGTATCAATAATAATTTAATATTTTTCTTCAAGATAAGATAGTTTCCTCAGATTTATGGAGCCAGTGTATTCTCAACTTCAGATGTGCATCCATTGAAATTTTATACAAATAAAAATGCAACAAACTTAGCAAGCTATTAAAATTAATAAGTTTTGTTTTGTTTTATTGTTTTCAAGAAGTCTGTGTCTGTAATCTTCCTGGAGGATTGAAAGGCCTCTTTTTGTTTCATATGAAACAAATTTTAGTTTGTTTAGTTAGTATATATATTGTATCTTTTAGAAATAAAAAATGGAGGAGGTTGCGGAAAAAGTAGTTTGTACCCCCCCCCTTCCATTCCATAATGAATAAATACATTGGATTTGTATTTTCCAAATTGTTGGTGATTTGGGCAAAGTCTTCCATGCTTTTGTTGTTGACTGTTCTTGCCTGTTGTTGTGGTGTGTGTAAAACTGGTAAGGAATGGTGGTAGATAATATGTACCTATATGTTTAATAAAATTTTGTAAAACTAAATAAACACACAAATGAGTACGGGTAGAACTGGGGAAATGTGGATCGTGTCAGCATTGTTATGCTTTTTACCCTATGGCTGTGCTATTATACTACAGTTTTGTAAAATGTTACCGTTGGGGGAGTATATATCCCTGTGTATTATTTCCTATAACTCTGTGAATCTATAAAAATCTCACTAGATTTAAAATATCTTTCATTGCTTACTGAGATTACTGAGCTACTAGCTTAAGAGATAATTTTCGCAAAAGCATAAACATTTCAGTTAGTCTCTGTTTTGAACAGATGAACAGATTTTTATAGTTCATTGTTTTGAATGCTGTTTACACTAAGTACCTTTGTTTCTTTTGCTTTTCACTTTACCCTGTCATTCTCCACCAGGTATTACAATTTGGAGGAAGTATTTAAATGCTTATGAAAACAATGTCTTAACTAGTAGCTATCTGCTCTGTAGATAAAACTTACATAGAGTATCTCACTTATTGATGTTTTTATCTGCATTAGATGGATCAGTATAGGCTGTTGTTCATGATCAAAAAATAATTTCATATGTAAAATGTAATGTATTTTTACTCATAATGTTAATCTACCATATATATAACTATTGTTAAAGTAGCTCACTTTCTTTTTTCCTTGAATTATTTTTAGGAATTTGAATGTTTTTCTTTTTAAAACTCCACTATTTTAATCAAAATTTATTTTTGTTTTCTAGGAGCAAAAAGATTGGATCAGTTTGTCCTTGGTTTTTCCCTATTTAAAGGTAACCTGTCTCTAGTTCACTAAATCATACAGACTTAATACAATTTTCTGTTTGAGGTGACAGTCTATATTTGGTTTTTAAAATAGCAGTTGTATTATATAATGGCTAAACCTTTTATGTCTTTTCTATAAGATGCGGTCTAATCTTTCAAAGAAAATAATCATGTAATTTATGTCATGGAAGTAAATATTAAAATCAGACTACATTTCTTATTATGTTCCACAGAGTTTTGTTTTGTTTTCTCTTCAGAAATTTATGAAAAATCTTTGCTGTTTTAATGTGTTTGCCTGAAACTATTTTACTCAGATTGAAGTATTGACGCCATGGGAATAAAGGTTCAGCGTCCTAGATGTTTTTTTGACATCGCCATTAATAATCAACCTGGTAAGGAAATTAATGTCCCTATTTAACATTTATATATGAATATTTAATATTTTAAATTATCTTTCGTGAAGAAATATAAACCAGCTACCTTCTTTTCCAGCTGGAAGAGTTGTCTTTGAATTATTTTCTGATGTGTGCCCCAAAACCTGTGAGAACTTTCGATGTCTTTGTACAGGTTTGTTGACATTTTCACTCACCCTAATAGTTTTAATTTAACACATTTTAGATTTTTTCTTGCATTCTTTCTCAGCATGCTGATTATGCAACATTGACTAGACATGAAAGTAATTCTTAGACATATTAATTGTAATAGGATTGTATCAGAGATTGATTTTTCCACTCATTAGAAAAGCATGGGTGCTTCTTAAATGAATTTTTAAAAGAATTCCTGAGAGGAGTGAATATTCTGTAGCTTAGAGAAGTCTTTATAGATCAAGAGAAATAATTTTTTATTTATTCTTTTTATTTAAATTTTTCAGTTTTATTGAGACGTAATTGGTATATGTCACTGTACGAATTCAGGTGTGCAGCATAATGATTTGATTTACGTACATCATAAAGTGGTTATCACAATAAATTTAGTTAGCGTTCATCATCTCATATAGATAAAAAATTAAAGAAGTGTGGAAAAAATTTTTTCCTGTGATTTCATCATTAATATTACTTTAATACTATTTCCTCAATTTCTTTTCTACTTAATGACGTACTGATTTTTCTTCTCTTTAGGTGAAAAGGGGACAGGGAAATCAACTCAGAAGCCATTACATTATAAAAGTTGTCTCTTTCATCGAGTTGTTAAAGATTTTATGGTTCAAGGTGGTGACTTCAGTGAAGGTAAGACTTCAATTCTTAAAAAACAAAATCAAATATTCTTTGTTTATAAATTTATATTCTTTTATGTACATGGATCTGAAAGTTAGACAAGTCTCTGGAAGTACTGGTCCAATTTTCTTCTGAGCCCACTTAATCTTTTGGTCAAACAAAAGTACTGGAAATTCCTTGGTGGTCCAGTGGTTGGGATACGGAGCTTTCACTGCTGAGGGCCCAGGTTCAGTTGCTGGTTGGGGAACTGAGATTCTGAAAGCTGCCTGGTATGGCCAAAATTAAAAATTAGAACAACTCATAGAAATAGACATAAAGGAGGAAACACATAGGAAAAATTTCATCTTTGGTGTATGAATTAATTTCAGAAATTTGCTTTTGGATAAAAAAAACATTGGCTTCCCTGGTGGCTCAGTGGTAAAGAAGCACCTGTCAAAGAGGGAGATGTGGGTCCTATTCCTAGGTCAGGAAGGTTCCCTGGAGAAGGAAGTGGCACCCCACTCCACTATTCTTGCCTGGAGAATCCCATGGCCAGAGGAGCCTGGCAGACTACAGTCCCTGGGGTCACACAGGAGTCAAACACGACTTAGCAACTAAACAACAACAACAGCAAACCCACTATATATCTCCTAGTAGCCTGTCTGTGTTCATGATTGATTTTGTCACATCCAGTTATCTTTTACTACAGTATAGTTTTTACCTCCTTTCTTTTTGTAAAAACACTTTGAAAGCTACTAGTAATTTCTGTTAAAGGACCTACACAATCATTAGAATCTGAACAGTCTTTTTTCTACAGTTGTTAATAGGCTTTGTCACACTAGTATTGTTGAATCAGAGAGGAGAAAAAGTAATTTGGGATCTTGTCAGTATTATCTTTTATGATTTGCTGTGAGTGAACCTTTGAGTATTGTTGCTATAAAGTCATTGAGGTACCTACTTTGTAAGAAGCATTTTATTTAGGAATGCTTCAAGAAATTACTGACCTAACAGTTCTAAGAGTCCATGCTTTTCATTCTTAGGAAATGGACGAGGAGGAGAATCCATTTATGGAGGATTTTTTGAAGGTAAAAATGTTTATGTTTAAATTAAACATTTTAATGTTTACTTTTAAATTAGAAGCTTGATCTTAATCTTTATTAAAAGAGAGATTCAGCTGTATTTCTTAGTGATAATACCAACATTTTTGTGTGTCCATTTTTCTATGAAGATTTTTTTAAAATCTTTGATATTCTAAATTTGGCTGTAATGTTTTCCCCAAATTTAAGTTTTCTCTGTGGAGTTTCTATTAATGTGAAGATCATTTGAAAAACTCTAAACATGTGGTTGTAGAATTAATTTCATATTACCCATCTTTAACTTTTGGGAGTCAGTGAAATTTCACGTTCTACCTGCTTTTTTCTTGTTCTAATACAAGATTGGAAGACAATCTGCAATTTCTTTGCAATAAGCTGTTTTCTCTATCAACAGCAGAAATTAAGTTAATGAGTGCCTCTGTGTGCTAAAAATAATATTGAAGAGAGATTGATATAGTATTTGGATTTTATAGCAGATGATTGAAAATTAAAAATATTTTAATATGAAAAGATACGGGAGGGAATTGGTTAATATTAGATTTCTCTTACCCTGACTTTTTAATCTAAATTTTGCTTGGCGCTAAAGATCACATGATAGGAACCCAAGATATATAGAGGAGTGAAAATGACTTTTGAGGGGGGAATTATGCCTATAATGTAACTGAAACTTTGCTTCTCTACAGATGAGAGTTTTGCTGTTAAACACAATAAAGAGTTTCTTTTGTCAATGGCCAACAGAGGGAAGGATACAAATGGCTCACAGTTCTTCATGTAAGAATTTATGATCTGACTTAAAATATCCCTTTTTTGGAGTGTCATTTTTCTGGATTCCTGCTACTGATCACTAATAAGAGAGGGACCTATAAGGGGGAGAATTTTTAAAGGTGGAAGAACAAAGAATTTCGCAATACAGCTGACCTCCCTTTTTGCTGAAAGGGGAGGTCAGCTGTACTGCTAAAGTTTTCAAATGATGAAAACTTGTGTCAAGAGGACACAGGAGCCAACTTGAAGAGTTTCCAATCATCTTAGTAGTAATTGATCCAGGAAAAAATTATCTATGGAGGATAAATTAAGGAACAGAATATTTGCAGCAAGCATCTCTTTATAAATTACTTAATTAGAAAAGAGTAAAAATACAGGTTCCTCATTTTTCAAAGATTCTTTATTTGTGAATTTGCCAACTCACTAGGTTTATTTGTAATCCAAAGTCAATACTACTAATGTTTTCCAATTCTGACAATAAAAAAATTGTTACCAGGGCTCATGTCAGCAATTCATGTTTTTTATCATGTTCCATGGGTAAAAATTTGCTCTGCTCTTCAGTAACATAAACTCTTTTGATCTCAGAAGAATTTAATCTGTCAGCACCATATGGATTATTTATGTGTTTTCTATTTCATATTTGTAACTCCCTTCTTCAGCCATGAGAAATCTCTCTTCCATTATGTTAAAAAATTTCTACCCATTTGTTGAATCCTAGATTTAAAAATTGCCACCCTATAACACTGGGAAAAGTAATGTACTAAGAAGAGTTCACTGTTTTTAGCAGTTTTTGTTTTTAGAGTGAGGGTATGTAGTTGTTGCATTTAAAAGTGACTTCTGTTAGTACTTTTTAGTATAAATTTTGTGTGGTTTTATGACTCAAAATATGTTATATTCATTTGTTTCTGATTATATTTCATTTGTTTTTCCTGCCAGATTGATTTGTTTTTTGTCCCTTTTTTTAAACTTTTAAAACATTAACATGATTCTAAGAGTCAAAACAGAGAGAATACCATTGAATTATCACTCCCACCTAACTCTTCACTCCATTTCCATTCCCCCATTTTTTCACCCCTTTTTACACCACCTGTCCATATTAGTAACCAACCTCATTAGTTTCTGACTTATTTTTCTGTATTTCTTTTTACAAACATAAGCACAGATATATACTCTTTTCTTATTTTCCATTTTCTTCTTATACAATAGATAACATACTGTACATAATGTTTTTCTGTCTTCACTTAATGATATATCCTAGAAATCATTTCGTATCAGTTCATAGAAATCTTTTTCATTTTTTTAACAAATGCATAGTACTCTATTGTGTGTGTATATACTGTAATTATTCAGCCAATTACCTATGTATGGATGTTCCTGATTTTTTAAACAGAAACAACTTATATCACATTGGTTAGAATACACAGATAAAAAGAAGAAAAACAATCCTCTCCCTAAGAGCATCTTTTCATGGAATAAAAATATAGAGTTGCATATACTCTGTAATCAACTTTTGGATGTAATATAAATCTGTTTGTATGTTACTAAATATGAATTAGTAACATTTTAATAGTACATGTTAATTCATTGTTTGACTGTACTATGGTTTTATTTATTTAATCTCAGTTTTGCACATTTGGTTGCTTCTTGTTTTCAAACTGCTCCAGTGAACACTGTTGTGCCTATTGTTTGATGCATTTTTAAATTCTTCTTCTATGTAAGTGACTGGCAGTTTACTTAGTCAAGTATTTATACATGTTTAAGGCTTTACATATATATTGCTGCCTTGACTTCCAAAAGGAAGTGCTAATTTTACCAGATCCTCAGCAACACTGTTACCATTTATTTTCCCTTTTTAAAATAAAATCCTTCCTGTGCTAACCAAAACCCCTATGTTAAATTCACATGTATATTCTCAGAATTTTCCTAGTGTTGGTTTCTCCTGACTCCTTTCCAGTTCTGGTTAACTCATCTTTACTTCTTTGTTCTTTTTTTTTTTTTAAGGAAAAAACTTCAGTTTTTTAGTCTTTAAAAAAAAATATTGTGAAAAAAAAAAAATTGTGGTAACATAAAAAATTTGCTGTTTTAACCATTTGTAACTGAGTCAGTAATATTTATATTCACAGAATTGTGCAGCTACCACCACTATTTCCAGCACTATTTCATCATTCCATAGAGTGGAATGGAAGCCATTTCCCCTTCCACTCAGCCACTTGATAACCTTTATTCTATTTTCTGTCTCTGAGAATTTGCCTGGTCTATATATATAAGTGGAATCATACAATATTTGTCCTTTTGCGTCTAACATATTTCACTTAGCATGTTTTGAAGGTTTATCTGTGTTTTATAGCATGTACCAGAGCTTCATTCTTTTTTGTGGTTGACTATCTTTCCAGTGTGTATACAGACCACGTTTTGTTTATCCATGTTTATTTGTTAGCGGACATTTGGGTTGTTTCCACTTTTTGTCTGTTGTGAGTAATGTTACACTGAACATTGGCACACATATATATTTGTTTGAGTCTCTGATTTCAGTTCTTTTGGATATATACCTAGGAGTAGAATTGCTGGATTATATGGTAATTTTATGGTTCACTCTTTGAGGAACCATCAAACTTTTCCAGAACAGCTACATCATTTTGCATTCCTACCAGCATTATACAAATAATGCTAACTTCTAGCATTATTTGTTCTAATTTTGCCATTCTCATCACTTTTTCACCAATCTGAGAATGACTGTGAAGCACTGCAAGTGTTGATTTAGGGGTTACAAATAAATTATAGTGAGCAAGCCCGTGGGCAAATATGAAATCTGTGAAGTGAGGATTTACTATATCTTGATGCAAATTGTATATACTGAATATAACACAAATACATATATAGTGTACACCTAGGTTTTTACATTTCTAGGTGCTTTTATCAAGTTGAGGTGATTACAGCTGTTACAGTGAGAAAACAATAACAGGTTATCACTTTTTAAAAATAAGGTGAGCTTATTTTAAAGTTCTAACATGTACATGAAATACATGTATATGTTAGAATTTTTTTAGTAATATCGTTTGTGTTTTAACCAAAGGTTAGCTTAAATTGTGTTCCTTCTTTCAAATTTCTAATGCTTTTTAAAAGATTTTTTAAAATAATAAATCTTATATAGTACCCATCTTTAGTCCGTTGTACCAGTATGTCTTCATAGCTACTCAGATAGCAGCTTTAACTACGAAGTTTTAAGGTTCATTTGGAGAAAAAAAGGAATTTTTTTTTTTTAATGAATTTTTGCTTATTTTAGATTTTGTCTAAATTTTAATGCAAATCTCTTTCTTCAACTTGAGATTTACTTTATGTTACGGATAACAAACTCTTAAGACCCATAGGTCTTAGGCAGGTAACATAAGGGAATAAAGACTGCTGGAATGAGAAACTTAATTATTAATCTTTCTATTAGAGAAGACAGGGATATTCAGTGTGACCAGTTATTGCCACATGCCAGGTGCCACATCTTCCAGGTTTTAAAAAAGGTCTGGAGTATGGATTTTTATATAGAAGTATCCAAATTTGTAAATCTTGGCAGCTAGTTTAAAAATTTATAAACAGTACACAGGATGGACCACTTCTGTTCAGGCCCCATGGAACACGCATGAATGCAGCAGAATGTGACCTGGGCTCTACCTGTTTAAAATGCTAAGGCTGAAAAAGTACTGTTATTAAACTCAAACTGGTGCAATGTTTTGGTAAGTTATGGTATACCCAGATAGTAGAACATTGTACAATTATGGATATTCAATAAGAACCCAATTACATGCAAGAAACATGGATGGATAGATGTAACAACAAAACATCAACTTTAATTTCATGTATGTTTTCAATAATGTATAGGTATTTCAGAACAAAATTTTGAAAATGCATTATGTCAGAAGCATCTTGTATTCGATTCTATTTAAGGTTAAGGTAAATAAGATTCTATTATGTTAATGTATGTATGAATTCTTGTTTTCTACATTGTTTCCAATGCAGTTATTTTCTTTTCCTTTTTAGAGATGCTAACTTTGTTTTTCTCTGACTTTGTTTTTATTCTTCTATCTGATGACTTCCAAAAGAACAACAAAACCAACTCCTCATTTAGATGGGTAAAGATTATTTTCATGTATTTTACAACCTATTTTAAATTAATATATTAAAATAAGAAACTTTTATTTAATCATCTTTACTTGACTCTTTAGGCATCATGTGGTTTTTGGGCAAGTGATTTCTGGTCAAGAAGTTGTGAGAGAAATAGAAAACCAGAAAACAGATGCAGCTAGCAAACCATTTGCTGAAGTGCGGATACTCAGTTGTGGAGAGCTAGTTCCAAAATCTAAAGGTAAAAGCAAGTATATATTTCTGCTGACTTTTATGTGCACAAAACAGTCTTAATTAGTTGGCATGAACTTTATACCAGAGTGAACGTAAGTATGACATTTTTGTGTATTTTGAATGTATTTTTGTATTTTTTAAATATGTTTTACCTTACTCCATATTTTGTTCATTTACTGTGAAACTGATTAACTTTCCTTGTCAGTAATTTACAGTAATTTGTCCTTTTGCTTCCACATTGTTTTTTAGATTTTTTGAAAAGTGTAGTTGTCTAAATAGTGTGGTAAATATTCTTCTAGGAAGAGTGTGTGGGGAGGATGACAATTGAAGAGTTTAACATAAGCTAACAAACTTTATGGGAATAAATTATTTCCCCTTCATGCACTGCTTAGATTCATAAGCATCTGGCACGTTTGAGACACTTTTTTTGCTTAAACAAGAACACTTCAAGTTAACACAACTGATAGTTTGCTATGATACTATCTGAAATTGTAAGAACTTGGTTTTAAGTATTTAAATTCTTTATATGAAATATCTAATTTCTATTATTTATTACACATATTGAGTATGATAAGTCTCAAAGTAATGAGGTGAGATTACCTTCAAATCTGTATGGAAAGCAATAAAATATTGAAATGACCTATTCTTAATCATATAAGGAATAATAAATAATATCAGTACTTAGTTTTTCATGTTTAACAAATGTGAGAATCATCTAACCTTTCTTTTCTGATCCTCACGAGAACTATATAATACTGTTTCTCTCCATTTCACAGATACGGTCAAGGAAATTGTTACTTACCACATCAGGGAACTGGACCCAAGTTTGCAGGCTCCAGATCTAAAGCTTTGTTAGGTGTTGCTAACTCATTAAAGTCTTTAATATTCCTTTCAGAATTGCCATAAGTAGAGCAGTCTCTTCTCAAGTTTAAGTATACTGATGTGCTTGCTCTGTAATATGTACATTTCATTTTGCTTTAATATAAAAAGACCCACAATGTTTCTGGAGGAAGATCCTCCCACACACATACAGATGCACACAGACAGAGTTTGTGAGATCTTAGTTCCCCAGCCAGGGATCAAACCTAGGCCCATAGCAGTGAAAGTATCAAGTCCTAACCACTGGACTGCCAGAGAAATCCCTGAAGAAGACTTATTTTTAATTTTCTTTCTGTGTTTCCCTTTGATTCAAATTATTTCATCTCTGTATGTCAAATATACACCTTGTAATCCTTTGCAGGAATATTGCTGCAGCTCATACTGGGGCTGTTCATGAGTCTGGCTATCTCTCCTTATTTACAAAAAATAGTTATAATGCATACCTGTGTTCGAGGTGATTCAGAAAGAATGAGTGTTGTTGAGTATCTTACCTTTTTTAAAAAACATTAAAGCTAAAAAGCAATCTATATTAAACTTTGCAAATTTTAGACCCTGAATCTTGCCATTTTATTCTTCAAAGTATTGTTGGTACACTTAGAATATTTTGGTTTAAGGCATTTCTTCCCATATCATCTAGAAAATCTTCATATTTTATTTTGTACTTAATTGTTTTTTGGCTTTTTTCTTGTGTTTTATAATTTTTAAGGATCTTGTGTTAGGATCTATTCTCTGCTTATAACAGTTAAGAATGCTGTGTGGTTACATATTTAGAAAGAGATTGAGGTAATTAAAAAGCTTACATCTTAAACCATAAAAGTTATCACAGACTCTCTAATACATTTGGTGTAAAATTCTTTTTGGTATTAACTGGTCAGTGTTTGAATATTTGCTGAATGGATGAGAAGGTGAATGAATGTCACTGTTGATATATTATTATGTTTTTGTCATGTATTTTCACCTGAATTGATAAATACTAATTTTGCCCGTGCCATTGTGGCCAGGAAGTTGTGCTGAAAGTTGATGTAGTGTTCTAGTGTGTGTTCCTCAGACTTATGCTGAGGAAGCATATCTTGCCCTGATCCATTTCATCAATTGAGGAAACCCTGTCCCTTTGTTAGCGTTTTCCCAGGAGTTATTGAAAAGATCAGGTTTGTTTCAAACATACTGTCCATGCCTGCTCTGTTCTGGATCACACTGTGGAAGAAGGAAAAGAGCACAGTTTGGTACCTATTACCCTGCAGTCCTTCAATTATCATTCAGAACACTGGTCAGAATGAATTTTGTCATGCTTCTGTGTGTTTTTTTTTAGGCGTAGCTATGTCTTACATCCAGTTTATATTTGATGGCCTTCTTACAGTCTTAAGTTGGAAATAGTCAAAAAGCTTTGGGTAGCACAGTGGTGTTCATTGTCATCATATTCAAAACCTTGTTTGAGGGATACACACCCCAATTTAAAATATATATATATATAGAATTTTTTTTTCTTTTCTTTTCCTAACTTCCTTAAAGAAAACAAAAAGACTTCTGAAGAAATCTGATTGTCTGGGCCCACCTATATGTGGTCTTGGTGAGTCTAGGCAATCATCTTGTGCCTTTGTACCTTTGCTGTTGTGAGATTGGAAATTCTACTTTTTCTGGCTATTTGAATGTGCCTGAGAAGGTTCAGAGTTAAGGGGAACATCCTTCCAACAGGTGCAGAGGGGGAACACTGGAGACTAACCAGAACTGCATCCCTGTAGAGGCTATCAAGGAGCAGAGTGGAGGACAGAACACAGACCACTGCTTTGATAAGAACACGTCCTGGTTTTTTAGAAGTTACCATGATCTCAGATCATGCTGGTCTCTTCAGAGTTCACTGCAGTTGTTAAAAGAGATATCCGTACACCTTTACCATGCAGCGTGAGATGGAACCAGCGATATATTACAGAGTACATAGAAACACAAGTGCTGAGTTATGGAAAATGGCAGTAAACAGTTAAGTGAGCAGAAATTTTGCATATATGTAATAGGAAACAGGTTACCTGGCATTACAAAAAGAAGAGCACCATAGAGGAAGCAGCTGGTGGATCTTGTTCTTAGGAAACAGTGGAAAGGATCAGAGACTCATTTGTATGGTGACAGGATCCCATTTCAGTGTCCTTATTCTGGAATTAAGAGCCATGGTGATGGCACTTTTCATGGAAAATAGTGGGATATTAAACTTAGAAATTGTTTAGAGGGGAGACCCAGTAATTTTGAAATGAAAAGAGGGTTATTTTAGGTATAATTCCATTCTTTACTTCAAACCTTATTTTGATGATGGCCTGGAAAGTTTCTTCAATATAAAGGTTTCATGTGAAATTCATTGGTATAAAATTTATAGCTCTCAAAAAACTAGTAAAGCAACATTTTCTTACCTTACATTTTTATAAGTAAAACGTTCTGGAAACTTGTCTTTTCACGTTAACATCATACTAGTAAAGTCAGTATCTGGTGATGTTATATACCACACCCTACCAAGAGTTTAAAAGTGTTGCTCTTTGTAATTCCTTTTTATCCATTATGACGCTTAATGATTCTTAACTTGCATTGTGTTTTGCTTTCAGTACTATTTCATTTTATTTTAGGGATAGTTATATGCTTATAAATGATGCTTTGAAATAGATTTTATTTAAGTGGTTAGACAGGAAGTAGGTTTTTGGGTTTTTTGGAGAATGTGGTGACAACTGTTGTCAGACTTGAGAGTTTTAAATTTTTTTCCATTTTAAAAGTTAATACATTTTGTTCAAAATTTAGAAACCATAAAACTGTAGTCATTGAAAAGCCTTTCCTCATATCTATCCGTATCTCAGGCAGATTATATTGCCCTAAAAATAGTTATGAATCTCCTTTTGATCTTCTGTACTGCTGTGATATTTTGCTTTTCTCAAATGCTTACATGAAAAGTGATGTGAAAATGAAATAATGGTTTCTTAAATGTATTTAATACATTTAGAGGGCTTTCCTGGTGGCTCAGACAGTAAAGAATCTGCCTGCAATGCAGGGATCGGGGTTTGATCCCTGGGTTGGGAAGATCCCTTAGAGAAGGGGGTGGCAGAGAACTCTATGGACAGAGGAGACTGGTGGGCCACAGTCCATGGGGTCGCAAAGAGGTGGATGCAGGTGAGCAGCTAACACTTGCACTCTCAGTACATTTAATAGGGAGACTGGGCTTGCTTTTTAAGAAATCAACTGCAGTGTATTTTCTCTGGAAAGAATCACAATGTAAAATAAATATGGATTGGAGCTGGTGAATAAAGCTTTGTTAATCATGGGGTAAAGCATGACTATGTTTTGTCAAGTAATTTTGACAGCTATATTCTGTGCTTGTTGTTGTTTAGTCACTAAGCTGTGTTCAGCTTTTTGTGACCCCGTGGAGTTTAGCCTGCCAGGCTCTTCTGTCCATTGAGATTTCCCAGGCAAGAATACTGGAGTGGGTTGCCATTTCCTTCTCCTGGGGATCCTCCCGACGCAGAGATTGAACCCATGTCTCCTGCATTGCCTGGCAGGTTCCTTACCACTGAGCGCCAGGGAAGCCCCCTTCTGTGCTTATGTAAAATAGTTTTATTTTGCCTGCATATTATATAGTCCCAGATATTTTTATTTAGAGTTTCTCATATTCATTATGAATTTATTTCCTTCCTTAAGTTTCTTTAACTTTTATTCTCCCTGCTAGTCTCCATACCTCAGGTTTTTAGTATATACAAGTAGGTTTTTCAGTTCACATACCCACTCTGCCTCACCAGCAACAGTGGTCTTGGGATGAGATTAACAGTTGGATTCATGAGACAAGATAGGCTTCACTCAGCACTAAGCTTATTTGTCATTGTGAAAGGATATAGGGCAGGAAACAGCACAGCTTGAACAGGGGTGTCATAGTGGAGATCTCTGGTTCTAGGCAGAGCTTGCATATGTCCCAGGCATCTCATGCTTAATATTAATAGGTTCATGGTCCTGAGAAGCATGATGGGATGAGAAAAGACTACCTTAGTTTAATGAAGCTTTTACCTCTGGTATCCCTTAAGCATTTGTACCTAGTTGCCATTCTCCAGTGCAGCAGCATCTCATCAGTACTAGAAAAACAGTCTTGATGGTGAATCACAAACCCTTGGTCAGGTGTACAGTAACTTAGCCAGATTCTCATTTATCTCTCCAACTCAGTGCACTCCTATAAATTCTGAGTTAAGAGTTTCAAGAGTCCCCAGCAATATCAGCAGAGCCCTAGAACTTCCCTTGTGGTCCAGTGGTTAAGACTCCATGCTCCCAATGCAGGGAGTATGAGTTTGATCCTGGTCAGGGAGCTAAGATCCCATATGCCATATGCCACACAGCATGGCAAAAGCAACAACAACAACAATAAATCAGTAGATCTCAGCCCTGTTCAACAAAGCCACTCAGCTGACCTTTAGATTTGTGAGAAATAATAAATAATTGTTCTTTTAAGCCACTAAATTCATTAAAGAAAAAAAAAAGAGTTTCGAGAATCATTTGATCAAGTGCCAAATCCTCAGGTGTTCCTGAGGGGGGAACACAGAAAGGTTACAAACGAACTGTGAACCCTTTCAGTTAAGGTCAGCAAACAGACAGCCAGTAGTCAGTCCCAAAGATAAATTTTTTGTCCTCTTTGATTTTTTAAATTATGGAAAATACTAACATTTACTAGAATGGTTGAAATAGTATAACAAATTACCATGTTCATTACCCAGCTTTACCAATTAATTTATGACCAATCTCATGTTTCCTATCCTTGGCCACTTTTCCATTTCCTGTTTGGAGCAAATTCTAAAAATAATGTTTTTATTGATAAGTTTTTCACTATTTATTTCTAAAAGGTGACTTTTCTAAAAAAAGTAAGCATACCATAAGCATATGCAGGCATATACACGTATATTCCTAAATGTAAAAAATCTTAACAGTGTTCACATTTTTAAGATTATAAATGTTAATTTTTTTGATGTTTTGGTTTGAATCCAAATCAGGTTCAAGCATTTGGTTTGGTCTTGTAATTTTTTGGTTTGTTTTTCATAGATTCTCCCACCGTTTCTTTTTATGTTTTCTTGAGATTTATTTGTTGAACAAGCTAGGTCATTTTACCTGTAGGACTTCTTTCCTGTTGCACNCATTTGGTTTGGTCTTGTAATTTTTTGGTTTGTTTTTCATAGATTCTCCCACCGTTTCTTTTTATGTTTTCTTGAGATTTATTTGTTGAACAAGCTAGGTCATTTTACCTGTAGGACTTCTTTCCTGTTGCACGCACTGAACTTTACTGCTTGCATTGTTGTATTATGTAATGTGTTCCTTCTATGCTTCTATTTTATATAACTTCGTCCTTAGACCTAGAAAATTGATCAGATGCTGTTTTGTTTTGTTTTGGCTGTGTGAGTCTTAATTGCTGCTCACGGACTTTCTCTCTTTGTGGGCGGGGCTCCTCTGTTGTGCCTAGGATTATCGCTGTGGCGGCTTCTCTTGTTGGGGAGCACAAGCTCGCGGCGCGTGGAGATCAGTAGTTGCAGCACACGTGCTCCGTAGTTGCGACTCATGGGCCCTGAAGTGCTGGCTCAGAAGTTGTGGCCCATGGGCTTAGTTGCCACGTGGTATGTAGGATCTTCCCAGAGTAGGGATCAAACCCACGTCCCCTGCTTTGGCAGAAGCATCCTCAACCACTGGGTCTCCAGAGAAACACCCCCTGCCCCTGTTTTAATTGGATAGTTCAATTCACGTCCTTAAGTCCACCATGGTTTGAATTAGAATACTTACAGGTGGCCAGGCTCTATCCAGTCTGTCATGTCTTTCCCCAATTCCTGATTAACTTCACTTATTTCTGTTAGTTTCCTAGTCCTTAAATCATTTGAGCTTGGTGACCCCTTTTGAAAATTAAAACTTTCTTTAACCCAAAATAAAATTTCAATTTGAAATTAACTTTTGGGGGGCTTCCCTGGGTCTTCATTGGGCTTTCTCTGTATAATACAGCATGTGGGGGCTTCTCTTGTTGGGGAGCACAGTCTCTAATCATTAGAGGGATGCTCAGGCATTGAATAAGCCCATTCCAATGGAATTGTGCTTCTTACCTTTCCACACTCATGCAAAGTATTTTTTCTGTTACTTCTCTCCTATACTTCTGCTTCCAATATTGATAATAAGAGAAAAAGTTGAAAACTATAAGAATATTAGAATCTGAGATTCTTGAGTGTTATTTCTGTGCTTTAAAAAAATGTTATTCAACTAATTCCTGAAATCGACTTAGTTTTAGTGTTTTCACCTGTTAACTTTTCCAGAATTCTTTAATAGATATAACTTAGACCCATGAATCTGGTGGGTGTGTGCAGTGTGCACATTATCAGTGATGCCCAACTCTGTGTGACCCCATGGACTGTAGCCCACCAGGCCCCTCTGTCCATGGGATTTTCCTGGCAAGAATACTGGATTGGGTTGCCATTTCCTTCTCCAGGGGATCTTCCTGACCCAGGGGTCGAACCCATGTCTCTGACGTCTCCTACATTGACAGGCGGATTCTTTATCACTGAGCCACCTGGGAATCCCATGAATCTGGAGGTCTGGATTCTAATCTTGAGTCTTAACTCCTTTCCTGTACTGCTCAGTTCAAATAGCTGGATGAACTAAGTATTAAATACTGGACTTGGAGAATCTCCCCCCAAAAATCTAAATTTCCTCTTACAAAGTTTGTCTAAAAAGTGTTGACTGAACCATTTTGCTTTTTATTAAAGCTAAGAAAGAAGAAAAGAAAAGGCATAAATCATCTTCTTCCTCCTCCTCATCATCCAGTGACTCAGATAGCTCAAGCGATTCTCAGTCCTCTTCTGATTCTTCTGATTCTGAAAGTGCTTCTGAAGAGAAATCAAAAAAAAGAAAGAAGAAACATAGGAAAAATTCTCGTAAACACAAGAAAGAGAAGAAGAAGCGAAAGAAAAGCAAGAAAAGGTCTTAATTTACTTTTACAGTACTGGCTTTGTATTCTAATTACCTTCTGTTTATATATAAACCTGTTGGGATATTGAATCAATTATATGGTACGTGAAAATATTAATACTTCATAGCATGACGTTTAAGACCATTCTGATATTCTATAGTCTATAGATTAAATTTGGGTACATTTCAGTTTTCAACAAAATCATTCAGTTCATTTTGTCTGAACTCAAAGACTTTTTTGATTAGATATGTTTGTATTTTATGGAAGGAATTTAAAATTAATAAGAATTATAGGAAACCAATGAGTATTTTCCTTTTTTTCCTCCTATGATAGCATAAAGCAAATTATGTCAGCATATTTACTTTCTTTTCTGTTATGTCTGAAAAAAAATCTGTCTTTGTACTAAAGCTCATCTTCATAAGCCTGTTGCCTCTAAAGCAGTTTCTTTATGTATATTTTAAAGTATTTTAAATTTATCAGTGCAGTGCATATGGAATATTTTGGTTCCATTTTAAAGGAAATTATTTTTTGAGAATGTGATAATAGATACATTTGGTTTTGGTTTTAGGTTGGTTTGTCAGAGGAACGAGTATTTTCCCCGTGTAACTGCATCTTTGGTCAGCAGTTGGGGACCGGATGATAGATGGATAGTATATTTACAAAGGAAAGAAAGACCAACAATTGGAAAATTGAGGTGGGTACATAATAACCAAATGGAACTTGTTTGTGTATTTCTGTTAAGCGCATCTAGTGAAAGTGAGGCTGAAAATCTTGAAGCACAACCCCAGTCTACTGTCCGTCCAGAAGAAATCCCTCCAATACCTGAAAACAGATTCCTAATGAGAAAAAGTCCTCCAAAAGCTGATGAAAAGGAAAGGAAGAACAGGGAGAGAGAGAGAGAATGGTATGTCAATATGTTTATTTTCCAAAGGGCCCTACATTCTCTATCACAGAACCTTTCTTTAAAAAAAAAAAAAACAACAGATTTTAAAATTTTAGATAAGATTTAATTGGTGACTTTCTCCTAAGATTGAAATTTTTTAATTGGATAGTGTTAGCAAAGTTCCTTTTTGCCAATCTCACAGCTGAAAAGATAAATTGACTTAATTAAGACAGATTTTTAAATAAAAGTAACTTTTAAAAAAAGCACTGCAGATGGCAAAAAGGTATAGTGGCACTCCAGACAAATTCCATGTAAAACAAATGTTTTACTCTGTTATTTGTATACCTTAAATTTTTAAGCTTGTAAGAACCTTTATGTTTCAGTTTGTCTGGTGGGAGAAAATGCTGTTTTCTTTGCCTGGTTTACAATATTGTGGTATTGAAAATTGATAGTATATTCAAGTACCTTGAAAATTTTTCTACATAATTCACATTATTACAATTAGTAGTTCTGTTGGTTCTTTATGTATCGTTTTAATAATTATGTCCAAAAATAGGGAAAAAAGATGGATATCTTTCTCTTATTTATGATCAGAAATAACATAAAAGTGATAAAAATTACTCATTCCCCCTATACTTTCACAATACAGTAAAAATATAAATCTTGGTTGCTTGAATTGTGTTAATTTTGATGGATTGAATTGAGTTTACTCAACTGTTAGGATGTTTCTAAGGAAGTAATATTAAGGAGAAAATATTTGAACTACTTTAAAATGCATTTTCAAATATAGCATACATGAATGTTGTTAGTGCTAATATTCATATTATTATTTGAAAATAAGTAGTTTCCATTTTATATAAAGCATGATATTAAATATTTTTCTAATTCAGACCAAGTTATCTCTGTTTAATTCACATCAATTGCACTTATCCATAGTTTTATTACCAGTGAATAATTGCTGGTAGAATAATGAGGTACTTTAGAATAAGATAGCTTTAAAATTGTTCCCTGAATAGCATACAGCCTACTCCAAGTTTTTTCATGTTCCTTAGCACTATCAAGTTGACTTTATCTTCGTAAAGATTATGTAACAGTATGTCTCAACAGAACAACACAGTTGGCATTTGGGAACAGAATAGTTCTTCATCCTCATGCATTACAAGATTCTAGCATTCCTGACTTGTGGTCACTCAGTACCAATAGCACTCTCTCATCATTGACAGTTGTTAAAATGCTCCCCTACTTTCCCAAATACCTACTGAAATTATAATGCTCCTTGTTGAGAACCACTGATTATATGTAAGATTTTGTTTATTAGTTTAGATTAATAGAGCTATGTTCTCCAGATTTATTTTTATTATATAATGTGTTTTAATTTTCCCTTTGCTTCCTTCTAGTAATCTACCTAACTCCCAGCCTCCTTCATACCAGAGAAGACTTTTAGTTACTAGGTCTGGCAGGAAAATTAAAGGAAGAGGACCAAGGGTAGGTGATTATTTTCCCAGAAGTCCTGATAATATTGCATTTATCTTAAATCTTGGAGTGTTTAATATTTTTTTTCACATAAGTAGTTAAAATTTAGAGTAGATGTGGATATTGAGTTGTATGTTCTCTTTTTATAGTCCGTCTTTGTGTTGGTTCTTCTACGCTGAAAGTCCATGAGATGTTAATGGATTTTACATGTACGGTATAAAATAAGATTGAGGTTTTTCTTGTGCCTCTTTGTTACTTCCTGACCACTGTGTGTCTATTCTTGTTAAAAATTAATCCTATTCTTACATTTCATACTCTTTTTCTTCACTGGATTGTCCTCTTCAGAATTTAAATATCTTCTTATGTTTGCAACATTTTAACAAACAAGGCTATACTTAGTATATTATTTATTCACTTCCTGCTTGTTCCTTAGTCATTTCAGGTTGTCTTCTGCCATTCTCCTGAAAACGGCACTTGCTTTATGGTCAGTTCCATGTCACAAAATCCAGTGGATCCTTCAGTCTTTGTCTTTGTTAATCTCCCTCCTTATAATACTCTTTCTCCTTTGCTTCTGTTGGCTTTTCTTCCTGTCTCTGGCTAGTCTTATCTTAAATTCCCAGTGCCAGTTCATACTACTCTGCCTGATCTTTAAATATTGTAGTACCTCAGAGTGCTAACTCTTCTCACTCTGTATTTGCTTCTTGGGCAGTTTGACTGCCCAAATCACTCTCGTAATTTCACTGGGTACCTGTGCACTGAAAACTCAGCTTTTTCATCTGCTTTTCTGGTACCAAAGCCTTATTTGATGACCATTTAGATGCCTGGTGGACACTTCAAACTCAGCATATACAGTGTTGAGCATAAGCACTCTTCTTCAGGCCTGACCCTCCTTTAGGTTCATGGTCTCAGTGATAAACACCTCCACTTGTGCAGTTACTTAAACCTGAAGCCCAAGAATCATTTTATTTCTCATCTTTCTTTTCTACCATTTATAACATCTATTGCCAAATCCTGTTAGTTCAACCTCTCAGATACACTGAAATCCATCTACTTCTCTCAAGTTCCACTCCTACCATCTTAGTTCGATTCACTATTATATAGTCTCTGAACTATAAATGGCTTCCTAACTGGTCTCATGGCAGTTCTCAAACTTTTTTGTCTTAGGACCTCTTTACAGTCTTAAAAATGACGGAAGATTCAAAAGAGCTTTTGTTGATGTGGGTTTTAGCTATCAGTATTTACTCTTTTAGAACTTAAACCCAGGAATTCTTTAAAACAAGAGTATATAAGCACACATTTCATTAGCATTGGGAACAGATATCAAACCTTGTCATGCCTCGTTGATTTCCTACCTGAAAATTGGGAGAGTTTAGTTATGTTAGAGGGCATGGAAATATCAGACATTTTTTGAAACCTAAAAATATATACACTTTAGCAGCTGTTGTAATGCTTTCATATTTTTATATGTTAATTTTTTCCCCTCTATTTTTTTAAAGCGTTATCGAACTCCTTCTAGATCCAGATCAAGGGATCGTTTCAGACGTAGTGAGACTCCTCCACATTGGAGGCAGGAGATGCAGAGAGCTCAGAGAATGAGAGTATCAACTGGCGAAAGATGGATTAAAGGGGATAAGTAAGGTTTAACTCTTATTTCAAATGTGCTAATTGGTATTTTTTTAACTATTTTAAATTATTTGATTTAGAGTCATTTTAGTTGTTTCTGAAAATCTTAAGGAAAATAGAATATCATTTCAGCTAATAAAGTTTCCCCAAAACTTTTTTTTCTTCATGTTTTAGGAGTGAGTTAAATGAAATAAAAGAAAATCAAAGAAGCCCAGTTAGAGTAAAAGAGAAAAAAATAACTGATCATAGGCATGTGTCTGAGAGTCCAAACAGGAAAAGTGAAAAGGAAAAGAAAGTTAAAGACCATAAATCTAACAGCAAAGAAAGAGAAATCAGAAGAAATTCAGAAAAAGATGATAAATATAAGAACAAGGTAAAGAAAAGGGCCAAATCAAAAAGTAGGAGTAAGAGCAAAGAGAAATCCAAGAGTAAGGAAAGAGACCCAAAGCATAACAGACATGAAGAAAAGAGGGTGAAGTCAAGGAGTGAAGAAAGGGATCATGAGAATGTGAAAGAAAAAGAAAAGCCTGAATCTAAAGGAAAAGATCAGGAGAGGAGTAGAAGTAAAGAGAAGTCTAAACAGTCAGAATCCAAAAGCAATGAGCACGATCATAATAAAAGTAAGGACAAAGACAGACGTGCACAGTCTAGGAGTAGAGAACGTGATATAACTAAAGGCAAACACAGTTACAACAGTAGAACAAAGGAACGAAGCAGAAGTAGGGACAGGAGCAGAAGGGTGCGCTCTAGAAGCCATGACCGAGATCGCAGCAGAAGCAAGGAGTATCATAGATACAAAGAACAAGAGTACAGGAGAAGAGGAAGGTCACGGAGCCGAGAGAGAAGAGCAACGCCAGGAAGATCAAGAAGTAAAGATAGGAGGAGAAGGAGGAGAGATTCACGGAGCTCGGAGAGAGAAGAAAGTCAAAGCAGAAACAGGGAAAAATACAGAAACCAAGAAAGTAGAAGTTCACACAGAAAAGAGAATTCTGAGGGTGAGAAGAGAATGTACTCTAAAAATCGTGATCATAGTAGTTCAAATAATAATAGGGAAAAAAAGGCAGACAGAGATCAAAGTCCATTCTCAAAAGTGAAACAAAGTAGTCAGGACAATGAATTAAAATTCTCCATTTTGAAAAATAAGGAGGATGAGAAGGCCAGATCCTCAGTGGAAAAAGAAAACCAAAAATCAAAGGGTCAAGAAAATGACCATGCACATGATAAAAATAAAAAATTTGATCATGAATCAAGCCCTGGAACAGATGAAGACAAAAGTGGATGAGTGAGTTATATAAACTTATTTCCATTCTGTCTCAGATTTTAAGTTTTAGAGACTTGCTGATGATCTTCCTTATGTTGTTTTTTCTTTTCATTGTTTTGAGGTTGTTTGTCTTTTTTTTCTCAATGTGGACTTTATTGAGTTGATCTTTTGATAATCTGCAACCTGGATAATTTGTACTGCTAAAGTTTTAATAAACTTGAAATGAGAAAAACAGTTTGGTGTAATACTGTGTGCTGTGTTTAACTATTTCATGTACGCATTTTTGTGTTGCAACAATCAGCCAGTAGCAAACATGCTCTTTACCCTAATTTGTGTGATCGGCCAGTTGGAAAGAAGGATAACTGATTGTTGGAATACATTATTATAGAAGCTTGTGTTTCTCATGATTAAAGTAACCTTAGAAGCCACTTGGTAGAAGAGATCTTATATAGATTTTTCGATTGCATTTATAATAGAGGCTTGCAGCAGCAGCTTTTAATTATACAGAAGTGGGACCCTAATAACTTGAGATATTAAGTCATCACTTTTGATTTTATAGTAATTTGTGCTTTAAAATATTTATATTGCACTTTCTATGTTATTCTTTATAGTGCTACCAGTAGCTGGTTTCTTATTTTTCCTGTTTTATTTTATCAACTGTCTGTAGATATAGTTGAGTATTTTTTTTTCAGTTGATGTACTGTTTGGGCTTGAATTGCTTGTTATACAGCATCTAATAAGAACTGTACCTTGAAGATCAGGTTGTAATTCTCAATTCTGTGTTGCTTTTGGTCTGAAGAGATGAAACTTGGTTTTGGCGAATGTTCTGTTATTGTCATTGCCCTTCTCTAAAATGAAAAAAAAAACTTTCCTCACTAAAACATACCACTGTGCAGGTCTTTGTTAGACAAATTCTAAAAATTGTTGGTATTGACACACAAACTTATGAGATTTCTCTTTTTGGCCACTAACCTAGAATTGAGTGTTAACGTTGCATGGTTGTTGGGTTTTTTTTTTTTTTATTTGAACTGACCTCTCTAAATCTCATAACTGAGTTTCAACTGGCAAAAAAATGCATCTCTTTTATATATGTATCACAGGCTGTAGCATGTTTATGACTCTGATTTCTTTCTATTCAGGTGGCTTTATATCATTACTATTAATCATTATTTTAACTTGGCATGTATAACATTGCCACATAGAGTAGAAAGTGGCAAAATTTGATAGCTTACAGAGTTAAACACTAAAGATATTCAAAGTCCATTTAGAAGTTTGTGTATTGTATATTGCTATTTTAGTGAAGTGTGGCCTTTTATTCTGTAATTTCTCTTCTAAATAGAATACTGAACATCCAGTAAACACAAAACCTGCCTCATTTGAAAAGAAATTTCAGAATTCCAATTAGTAGTTGCCTTTAGAGTGTTTTATACTTTAATATTTGTCAATATAGTATCAAATAGCTACTTACTTTTCCCTTATTTGATACTTATAGCTACTTATTACCAGGTAGCTCCTTGGTAAACCCAGTAGCTACTCATGCTATTTGTACTGTGCAAAGCAATGCTTATTAATATAATACTTCCCATTATTGATTAATACAGTAATGATACATTTGGCATTGTGGTAGCCACTTACATAATGAATAGGGTGATGATTATAAGATTGTTTGGATTATCGTGAAACAAATATCCATATCAGGGTCTTACTGAATCATTTTCCTAATGATAAAAGTAATAGATGTTTGTGATAATCCAGGGTGATTGACTCCCTAGAGATTTTGATCCACAAACCTTAGAGATAATTGAGTCCTGAGTCCCCAAGCTGTATAATGTGTTATATATTTTAAATTAGTTTTTGCTTGTCTTAAATTCAGTGAACTGCATTTAAAAAGTCTTTGTTATAAACTATTTGAGCTTCAAGAAAGGTGCTGTTTAAGAAAGGATTTCTAATAGTAACAACAAAAAAAGAAAATTCATGCTATTTAAAAATTACTTGTATGTTATCTGATCCCAGAACTTTATCTACTAAGAATTACAGATAAGTAACCATGGGGGGAAAACTAGTAATTACTTTAATATGCTATTTTGGTTATCAAAGAAGCAATTCCATGCTAAGCATTATTTCTAGACCTATAAAAACTGTTAGCTGTTTTTACAGTGAGGTATGGTGAAGGGGTTGAAGTGAAAGATGACAATCAGCTAGATTTTATTTTCAGAATGTAAATAACATTTAGAAAATTATCAAACAGCATTAACCATACATCTGCTTTTGCATCTGAATACTGCACTGATCAAGTAATTCTTTCATTACCTTTTTAATAGTTGTGCAACCCTTACTTTTTACTTTGAACAACTCTTTTCCTAAAAGTCAACTATTTGTTTCCTGCCAAATTGATACTATAGTTACTTTGAGGTAAATTGTAAACTCAAACATCTTTAAGCGGATTTAAATCCATTTAAAGATTTGTAGTTTGTTTTTATTGCCTGATTGGCAATACCTGAGAAATGAGAAATTTTTTAAGATTATTTCCTGTGAATTCTTTTTCTGTGTAAATCATCTGCCACAGAATTGACACTGCAGAGAGATTAATGTTAATGAGCTTGTAGGGAAGATACCAGGTTGCTTTAAAACATTTAAAAACTACTCCATAGTTAAGAGAGTTCATAGATCATGATAGTTTCTAAGTTTCTTAATCAGATCCCTCACAGAAATTTCAAAGAATTTGTCTTATAAAAATATATCTTTGCACAAATGTAATATTAACTCACCTGAGCTTTGCCTAATGGCCTTTGATTCTTGTGCCCAGTAGAAAATATGAAACTGAAAAGTAAAAATTTCTTTAATATTGGGGATAGGAATACATTGGTGTTCTGGTATTTTGAGTAATAATATTACTTGGCAGTTCTAATTTGTTTTCAAGTTAGTGAGTGAAACAAATTAGTATAGTTTTTAGTAGTTGATTTTGCTTTACTATTGGTGGCAGGTTTTTTTTTGTAATCACACTTTGAACTTTTATAGTAGATGTCTATAGAAACTTGTTCCCTTTACCTTCAATAGAAGGTACTTTAAATATACACCATATTGTTGTTACAGAGAAACATGAAATGGGCTGTTTTTCTGTCTCCTTTTGGTTGTATATACTGTAATTGTTCAGTTTGGTATTCCTACATTTACTGTTGAATAGACTCCCCAAGAGTAGTAGGTTTTAATCTGTTTATTGTGAAAAGATCTGTTTTGCTACAAATTCTTGTTTAAAAAATAAACTCCAGAAGTGTAACATTGGCTAATAGTGACTTCCCAATTGTCTTTAAAGGATTGAGGCAAATGTAAATTCTGGCCTGTGTTGTGACACAAGTAAATATGAAAGGAAAAGAAAAATCACAAATTTATAGAAATTTCATCAGGAAGATTGAATAAGGGAGTTGTTGACGGCTTTTGTTTGTTTTTATGTACGGGGGCGGGGGGTGGGGGGGATGGTGGAACTGATTTGTGTGTTTCCCCACCACCACCTTTTTTGCAAGCAAATAACCTATGTTTACCAAAAGCACATGCTGTATATTTTGTTTCCCCCTTTGTGTGTTTATAGTATTTTGAAGGATAAATTAATTGGGTATTTGTATGTGAGGATGTTAAAAGCTGTGGCTGCTTTCTTTGTGGAAGGGAAAAACAAATGAGGTTAAAATGCACTTCTTTTCCTAGCTCAAAAGTCACTGTGATGTATATTTTTTTAATGAAATTTAGGAATAAAACTTGTTGCAGTTGTATAATTAGTTTCAAAATGCTGCTTCTCTTATCATTAGTCTAGTAACTGTTAAACTGTTTTATGCAAACTGCATTTTACAGAATTTAAACTGAAACTGTATCAACTTTTATAGTTAAACATTGTATTAAATAAACTATACTATCAAATGGTTTGTTTTGTATTTTTTAAATTATTGATTGTATTAGTTTATTTGGACTTTTATTTCATTATTAGCTTTTAATAAAAATAATCATTTAATATTTTTATTTTACCCATAAGGATACAGAAATTGTATTGGGGAAAAACTGAGCAGAGTTTTAACAGTGCTGAACTTCTTTTAAGAATTGAGCCGGCAGTGACAGTTTCTGGTTTAGGGATAAGTTTTAGTGTAATTGTTTAATCATAATGCTTCACGTTGCAAGGTGTCTTTTGCCTCAGCAAACTTTTAAGGTTATACATGGAATTACTATCTACTGGAATGCTACCATTTGCTTTTTAATTCCTCCAAATTTCTCAGCAGTGGGAACATTGTATTATATCCTGTGCCTGCTAGTTTTAATATAACACTTACCATTATAAAGCCATATAAACGTTAACTAAGTTTTATAAAACATACTGTCTAGTTGTTGTTTTTTTAATTTAAATTAGACATCTTTAGGGAAAATGAACCTAGTTAACTTGAGAGTCACTGAACATATATATGCTTAAATAAAAACATTTTGACCATTCAGTGATTTATATGTGTTAGTAGGTGAATATTATTAAATTCTCAAATTCTGGAGTGTTTTTAAATGTTTTATTAAGCCAGGAGAATATGTAAAATGTGAGTGTGTCATATGGGCTGTACAGATTTATGTATTAAAATACTTTTAGTTTCAATTTGTGTTTTCTAGTTTCATTGCTTTCTAGGATTCTTTCCTAAACATACTTCCTAATATAATACTGTATTTCTTTTTAAGTAGTGCTGATTCATAATTTTTACACCTACCCCACCCCCAAGACCTCTCAATAACCCAAAATGTTTTAGTTCAAATTTACATCTTTGCCACAAGTTTTAGCTGTGCTTTATCAAATTAGTGGCTTAAAACAGTTGTGCACTAATAGGTACAGATAACAGGGTTTCCATTTCGAACAATGAAAAACTTCTGGAACTAGATAAATGGTAATGGTTGTACAATATTATGAATATACTTGATGCCACTGAATATTCTTAAATAGTTAAAATTACACATTATTTTGTGTATATCTTTTATCAGAATAAAAAAGAGAATCTGACTTAATCTTGAGTGGGGAGGAATCAATTAGGTCAGACATAAATGTACTTAGATGAAAAGCAGTTTTATTAACAAATTATAAGCATATAATTCACTTGAATGTGTAGCTCAGATTAGCTACAAATTAGTCTTCTTAATCTTGAAAATAAACTTTTTTCTACCATGTAAAACCTAGCCTTCTCTTAGACTTTTGAAAATTATTATATTTCAATCCCTGAGAGTTATAAAAAGGGAGCTGGACTCCAGTGATATCATTTGCCTGATAGCTGGGTCTTAATCCACCTCTGTCCACGAAAACTGGTCCACGGCCACCTCCAGGTCCTTCCTGTACAGCTTTTACAAGAGGATAAATATATTTGTTTGTCGATTCAGACTCAGATTCAATTACTTCTCTGGCATAATCCTGAAATTCCTTCTCCTTTTCAGCCACCAGAGCTTCAGTAAGTCTGCAGTACTCTGATTCTGCTTGTTTTGCTTGCAGTGCATTAAACTTATGTTTGGCCTGTTTGGGAAAGAGAAAATATAATTACATATTGATACGTTTAGAAAATTGACCAATTTTCTAAACACACACAGCATATGAAGTTGTAGATAGAGCTTTTAAATTCATTAACATGTGACAAGTCCTGACTTAACTATATAATTTATTTCAGAAATTCCCCCATGCTTCTCACAATATGTTAAAAGCAGTGGCTTAGTGAAGCTTACCTTAATATGTGATTGTACATCTTCAAACAATATAGCATGAAATTAAGATTAAAATAACCAAGTTTAAAATCCTGTTTCTACCAATTATAAGGTGTGTTCTTTGACAAGTATAGAAGACATACCAATCACTGTCCCAGTCCATCCACTATTCTGAAAGGATGCATCCAAACCTGCTATCCCAAATCAGCCACTTAGACGATGTGACCCAGCTACATGAGATTAAATCTTCAATGAATATCTGAATTAAGTTAAACTAATTACATTCTCTGTTTCCTAAGAATCTGAAGTTGGAACAAGTGACATTTATCAGTGTAGGTTGATCAGGAAGGAGCTAGGTAGAATAAGCAATCTATCAAAAACTAGTTTACTAACATTCCATTTTTTTTCTTTTTATAATTTACAAACACTCTGTTTATATCATATGAAGTGACTAATGGCTTTTTAAAGATTTCTATGTTTTGGTTGACAGCTTTTCATTGTATCTGATGCATTTTAAGAGATGCTGAGTTTATAAAAAATTTACTTGTGAATGTATTATTATAATATTCATGCAAATATTTTTCAAAATCAAATCCAAACACTTCAGCATAAAATAGTAGCTTAAAATCATAAACTGAAATTTGTGATGAAATAGAACAACTATTTTGAATTCAATACAAAATACCAAATTTTTATTAGAATGCTATATTTCAACATTAGGACTTTTATGCTATTTGTTGAATAGCGACAGACACCAAGAGTTTAAAAAATAGAAAATGACATTAAATAACATTAGGGAAAACAGAAAAGGCTAAAAACTGTCTCATCAATGGTAAAATGCTGAAATTTGGGATCTTGACAAGGAGCAATTGGGATAAACTGATTTGGTAGCAGTTTTGTAGAAACATTGAGGAAACAGGGATAAACGTTTTTTAAGTACAGAAAGGAAATGAGAGTGGAAGGAAAGGATAACCAAAATGGATCATATGACTGGTACCTCAAACTTTATATACATCAAATACAGATTTGTAAAATATTGATTGGTTTAAAATCCTAAAAATGATCACATAGTGGGTAAAGGAACAAATACCTTAGGAGATGTTAACTAATTGAAAACTCAAAGTGAAAATCAAATATTTATCCTGTCTTTTAAAATTGTATTGTATTTATTTAAGGGAAACCAGTTGCTGATCATGAAAATTTATTTGAAAACTTAATCAATGAGAAGGAAGGAGAAAATACATTTTTCCACCTAAGAATTAAATCTAGGTAACAATCACCAAAGTCTGCTTGTGTCACAGAAAGTGAGACAATAGTCATCACATGCCTCCTAGTGGAAATACACCAATTATGAGGGATTTTCAGCAAAAAATTGAACCTGAGTCTGACTTACCCTGAATTTTGCATGAAATGTAAGGAACTATACTACCCTGCATGGATGCCCACAAAATCCAGACTATAGTAACTCTAAAAGACAAGAAACCCAGTTCCTTCAACAAACAAATGGCAAGATAATGAAGACAAGGAGAAAGAACAAGAAGGATGGGGATGAAGGAAGAGTTACAGGTTACAAGAAACTTGAAGGATATATCAATCAACCAAATAGAATGTATGTACCCTGTTTCATCCTCAAAAAACTAAAAAATTCATGAGGCAATCTGGGGGAAACTGAAACAACACTGAATGTTAAATGTTACATATTTTTTGAATGTTATAGATGTGATAACAGAATTGTGATTATGTTCATTTATAGAGTCCCTGGGTTTTAGAGACAGTGAAATATACATCAATAAAATTATAACTATTTGGTATTTGCTTCAAAATAAGATGGCAGATCCTACTTCTGATAAATGGCCACATGAGGTTGGGCAAAACTGCAGAAAAGTTGATTCTTAAAGTCAACCATTTCAGAGCATTGGTAAGTGACTATGTACAGGCAACTGCTTGCGAAGTGTTTTTTCATGAAAAACTGCTAAATCAAGGTAAGAAGTACAAGTTCATAACATTCTTGTCCGGAGGGCATTGCTATCGCTCCAGCTCCGGTGGTGAAAACATGCAGATTACTGGACAATGATGACAGATTCTATTTGGGTCAAGTGATAAAACAGCTAGAAATTTGAGGAGATTCTGGAATGAAAGAAAAGCTGTAATGATAAATCTACACACATCCCTGACTGATAAAAATACATCCACACAGGAGGCATAGGAGTAAAAGCATTACTGGCTAAAGGTGTCTGAACATAAACTACCCATATTACTGGATGACTGTCAAACAAAACCAGCACAGTGAGGAAGGAACCCTAGGGATCCAGGGTTTAAAACATACAAGCGAGCAAAGACAGCAGAGGCACTGTGGTGAAGGCAGATTTCATGGCTTGCATCCAGGGAACGCAACTGCCTACTAAAAAAGCAACAACCGTCAGAACAAAGCAGAATCTGCAACAGTTTCTATATAGTGTTGGACTTTCAACCAAAAATCACTGCAAAGAAATAGAAAAGTATTTTCAGGAAAGAAAGTTCAACAAACAATTATAACTAATAGTTATAAAAGTTACAACTTAATGCGACTACATATTGACTTTGGCAATTAGATTTCAAAGCAGTTATGAAAATACCCAGTAAATTAAAAGAAATATGCTCAGAACAAGTGAATGGGAATCAGAGAATTAGAAACTATATGTAAAAAAAAACATAGAGTTGAAAGTTCAATAACTGAAATGAAAAATTCACTATGTGAGCTCATCATCAGAATCAGTGAATTTGAAAGTAGGTCAATAGAAACTATCCCATCTGAAGAAAAAGAGAAAAATATTGACTAAAATGAACAGAATGTCAAAGATTTCTGGTCAATATCAGATGTATCTATGCATGTGCAAACTGGGTCCCTGAAGAAAAAAAAAGGATAAAGAGGCAGGAAAAATACTTGAAATAGTAAAAAAAAACTCCCCACATTTGGTGATATTAACTAGCACATTCAAGACCCACCACAAATCTCAAATAGGAAAAACTCAAGAAAAACATCACAGTCCAAAAAAAAAGAAAATCACAGTCAATCTGCAGGAAGCCACAATAAAAAAGCTTGTAATCAGCAAGAGAAAAATGACACATACAGGGGACAAACAATATTATTAACAGATTTCCAGTCATCAATGGTGAAGACCAGAAGACACTGGAACAGTCAAAAGACTGAAAAACATAATGACATCCAATTAATTTCATATCCAATAAAACAAAGGCAAGATAAAGACCTCCAGAAAAACATTAATTTATTACTAGCATACCTGTGCTGTAAAACATGCTAAAGGAAGTCTTGAGCCTGAATGGAAATGGCCAATAAGTATATGAAAAGATGCTCAATATCACTAATCATGAGGGAAATGCATGTGAAAACCATAAGATACCACTTCAAATCCATTATGATAAGCAACAACAAATACAGAAAACAAGTGTTGAGAATTTGGAGAAAGTAGAACTCTGAATATTGCTGGTGGCTCTTAAATGCTGCAGCTGCTGTAGAAAACAGTATCATGCTTCTGAAAAACAACTACATAGAATTACTATATGATCTAGCAATTCCACCTGTGGGTATATAAGCTAAAGAATAGAAAACAGGAACTCAAACAGGTATCTATCAATATAGCAGTGTGCACAGAATCATTATTTGCAATAGCCAAAATATGGGAACCACCCAAACATCCATTGATGGATGTGTGGATAAACAAAATCTGGTATATATGTACAGTGGAATATTATTCATCATTAAGAAGGAATGAAACTGACACATGCTGCAATATGAATGAAACTTGAAGATACTATGTTCAGTGAAATAAGAAAAAAAAGGACAAATACTGTATGATTCCACTAATATGAGGTACTTAGAACAGCAAATTCACAGAGACAAAAAGTTGAACAGTGGCTACTAGGAACTGGGGAGGAAGGTAGAACAGACAGTTACTCTTTAAAGTGTACAGAGTTTCAGAGTAGGATGATGAAAAAGTTACGGTGATGGACAGTGTTGACAACTGCACCTCAGTATAAATGTGCTTAATGCCCTTGGACCGTATGATTTAAAATAGTAAATTTTATGTATACTTCACCACATTAGCAACCCAACTAAATAACTGGCAAAAGATTTAAGTGTACACAAGGCACAAAACAACTAAAAAGAACACGAAAAGATGTTCAATATCTTTAGTTGTTAGGAAATGCAAAACAACACCATGAGATAACACTATACTAGAATTGTTAAAAAATTAAAAGATGGCAATAACAAGTATTAGCAAGGATGTGGAGCAACTTGTCTTTGCATACATTGCTGGAAGGAATGAAAAATGGTAGAGCTATTCTGGAAAACAGTTTTCAGAAACATTACATGCCCAGTCCTGCGTACATGTTCTAAAATCTCTGGGACCCCCACTCACCTCAAATATGAAACCTATGAGATCCCAATCAACATATTCTCTGAATAATAGTTACAAAGAGGGGAAAAAGTAAAAAGCATCATGGCCTGCCATATGCATTTGTATTTTCTTTCACATTTACTAAAACGCAATTGAACCTAAAGAAAGATAAATATCTGTACAAAAGACATAAACCTAGTACAGAAACCTCAATACTGATAAAAAGTAACTCCACATTTTTAGTACATTTTATTGTATCATAACCATAGCAACTGTCTAATCCTACTTGATAAAACTGTTTTGGGAAACAAAACTCATTAAATCTATATTACATATTTACTTATAAGTATAAACATTTAGGAATAATTACCATTTGCTGAATATGGGCATCTTGAACTTCTCGACGTTCTTGATCAGCTTTCCGCTTTTTCTCCTTTTCATGCTCCCAAAAAATCTGGTCTGCTTTTAGGATAGCTAGCAATTGTTCTGTAGCCTCTATTTTCCTTTGTCTTTCCTCTTCCTCTTTATTCTTCATCTAGATGATAGCAGGCAAAAGAAAAAATTAAAACCATTTGTAGCAACCAACGGCTTTGAAGTTAGAAAGTTGCAAGTGAAAGTCAGCCTGACACAATGAAAGGGTCAAAAATTGGGGTGACTCCCACCTGGCCAGTTTACTTTTCTAAAAATATCAAGAAACAATGAAAATATAAGTAGAATGATATTGGTTTAAAAATATATAGGAACAGAAAAGCAAGACCATCTCAAAATAGGGAAACATATATAGCACTATATAATTGCTACAATGCTTAAAAACTATCTAATTTAAATCTTATGAAAGCCAGTCCTGTAAGGGATAAATTCTGAAGTATCAAGATATACAGAAACACAATGGGGTAATTTTTACTTGCTTTATCTTAAAAACATTCAAATGAAAGTTAATAACTTTTTTACATTTCAGATGGTTCTGCAACAGAAGAGACTATTACTTTGCATCTATAAAGATCTTATTTGTAATTACCATGTCATCTTCTGTAGAGAGTAAACATGGCCTGATTTCAAGAATATTGGAAGATAATTTTATACATTGTTTTTCAAATCTCTTAGTTTTTTGTCAGAGAAGCAGAGGGAGTAAGTTAGAAACTACAGCAAAGGGCTCAATTTTGATTTTTACTTGTCATCAGTGAATTGCTTACCACAAGAGCTCTATGTTCTGCGATTGCTTTTAATTCTGCTTTGTTTTTTTCATACTTTTCTCTTTCTCTTTTTTCCCACTCAGCCTCAGCTTCTGCAATATCTCTAGCAATAATCAAGTCTTCATTGTCAAATTTCTCTCTCATTAGTTTACTCAGGAAGTTATTTATTCTTTCTCTCCGTTCCTCCATTAGCCTATAACGAAATAACCATTTACTAGTCAAGTCTTCAAGAATGGTTTATTATGGAGCCAACATACTTTAAATGAAGATAAATAACTTTCCTTTTGTACAGGGTAAGTCCTCTCTCTAGTTCAGGGCCAAGCATAGTGCCTGGCACCTCATCAACAATAACTACCTATCTGTTAAAGGAATGGGGGCATTTTGGTTTAGGAAATTGGGCAAAAACTTTTAACTGTAGCTGTGACATATTCACTGATCACTGAGTGAATCTGTGAAGCCACACTGGAGAAATGAAGAGAAAGGACACAATGCTTGCCCCAAGGAAGTGACAATCTAAAGTGGGAAAAGGGCTTCCCTGCTGTCTCAGTGGTAAAGAATCTGCCTGCCAATGCAGGAGACACAGGTTTGATCCCTAGTCTGGGAAAATCCCACATGCCATGGAGCAACTAAGCCCAATCCACAACTCCTGAGGTCCACATGCCCTGGAGCCTGCACTCCACAACAAGAGAAGCCACTGCAGTGAGCAGCCCACACACTATGAGTAGAGAGCAGCCTCTGCTCACTTCAACTAGGGGAAAGCCCACACAGCACCAAAGACCCGGAAGAGCAAGAATTCATTAGTAAAAAATAAAGTGGAGAAAAGGCAATTATGTAAATAACTATGCAGGCAAAGGTGATAAATGCCACAATAAACCTAGAAAGTGATATGGGCAAATGAAAAAATGAAGACTTCATGGAAAAAGTCACATTTCATCTAGGCTTTCAAAAACAATATTTTAAACACTTTCATTGATTATCTACTATGTGCCAGGGACTATTGAAGTTATTGGGACATAGAAGTAAACAAAAACATTAAAAATCTCCGCCTTTGTGGAGCTTTCACAATAGCTGGGGTAGAGACACAGCAAACTAAATAATTAAAATAGTACTGTATCACCAATGAAAAAAAGAGAGCAGTTAAAGTGATAAGCAATGTGGGGTGTGGGGTTATAATTTTAAATAACACAGTGATGTCCTGAATGAGAAGGCAATATTTGAATAATGATCTGAAAGAGTCAAGGGAGGTGAGAATTTCCCAAATAGGGTACAGGAGAAGTTCAGTGTAAGTGATCAAGAGGGAAAGAAAGAGAACAGTAAGAGATGAGGTTTGAGAGAGGGAGTTAGGGTCACTGGGAATTAGGATGGGTACAGAGCCTTATGGGCCATAATCAACACTCAAGTGTGGTGTGAAGCCACCAGCGGGTTTTGCACAAGTGAAAACATAATATAGACAGAAACACGATGTACTGGATCTTCACTCATCTCATCCCAAATTGCTCACTAAGGTAAGCAACAACCTCTACATCTGATGAGCACTTTATTTTAAAACTCTCTCCCTCTGGTCATCTAACACTAGTGACTGCTCTCTCCTTACTAAATTCTCACCACCCCCACCACCCCCACCCTTTGCAGTTTCTTTGCTTTTCCTCCATTCTCTGGAAACTATTCCTTGGTCTTGTTATCTTTGTTCTCTATTTGACCTTTAACTATGGATTTCCATAGGGACTATATCACCTTCATTTCTTATCTGCTCCCCCTAGGTGAGCTCACCTGTACCCACAGTTCCAGCTGCCACTTGTCTATCAATGGCTCATAAAGCCATCTCTAGCTTTCATACAGCTCTCATACCCATCTCTTAAATTAGAGATTTTCAGTATTTCCAGTCATCTATCACATAGATGACATCAATATTCCAACAGAACCCCAATTCACATGCTCCAAGCTGAAATCACCAAGTCACTAAATGCCCTGATATACATAAAATGATAAGATCTTTATTCCTAAAGACTGCACTCTCGTATCACAACTTCTGGTTTAAAATAAAATAATTTCAGATAGTACTTTATTAAGCACAAAAATTATTTTAGACACTGACCTGTGTGTTTCAGCTTCTTTCTCTTTCCCCATTTGTGTAAGACGCTTTTTTGCTTTGATAAATTTTCTAATCTTTTCATCTTCTTCCTCTTGCTGTTGCTGTTCTACGGCTTTGATGACATGTTTATCATTCAAATGTTCCTTGGTGGGGAAAAATTGTGTTATCCTATCACAAAAGTTTCAACATATAGATACCTAATAGGAATCTATCAAATGGACACAGTTTCTAATATAATTATTTCTGTCTTGGGAATTTACCTCTAGGAGATAATCATAGCTGGGCATTAAACTTCATGTACCATGTAATTAATCTCAGAGTTATTTATAATATTGAAAAATTAAAAACAATTTCTAAATATTCAATGATGGAGAAACAGTTAAACTATGCTCTCAAGGACATTGGAAGATATAAATAACAATCAGTAGGTAGGAGGAAAAAGCAGAATATAAAGCATTACCACAGTGTATTTTAGTTTTTCAAGCACATATAAGTTTATATTGAATACATAACTGGAATAAATGTATCAAATGTTAACAGTAGTTATCTCTAGGGTATGAGGTTATAGGTGACTTTTACATCTTCTTAATTTTCTGTATTTCTTTTCAAATATCTCATTTCTTTACAACTATGTAATTTAAAACAATACTATTAATATAATCAAAAATACAGTAAATATGTATAATCTCACTTAATATTTGAATAGTTAATATAGGCATATGCTATACAAATTTAAAATATTTTAAAAACACATAGTGTAAAATTTTTCCTACCACATCTACTATCTTCCTATGCCTAATTCCACCCACCAGGCTCAATTACTCTGAAACTAATTTCTTGTCTAGGCTTTCTTTTTGTATATATACAAAAAATTATCCAGATGTATATTCTAATAAAAATTTTTAAAATAGGTCATTTTTTAAACAAAAAATAAAAGTCTGTTCATATCAGCATATATTCTACTACCTGACCTCAGTTAGTCATCACAACAATAGGTGCCTTTGAACACAACAGCCCAGATATATAGATAGATCAGTGCTTCTGTTACCCAAAGTAGAAATGAATTCAAGGTAAAAGTTACTAGGTGCAATTATTATTTTTTTTAGGTGCAATTATTTATTATTCCAACAGATTTATAACTCAAGATTACTATGTACCTACTTTGCTTAAGTACTCTTCTATTTTATGGGATATTACTTTTAAAGCCTGTAATATGGTTAGGAGATAGATTAGTTGACATGAAAAGGTAATGAAAATATCAAACTCTTAAAAGTGATTGTTTTGAATTATTTCTTAAAAGCTTTATTTTACTGTTTTTTCTAAGTTATTATAATATTCATAAGGATTTTTATAATAAAAGTTAGAATTAACACAAAGTTAATTCTGATTTTTTAAAACCCGAAAGCCTCAGCTCAAGGTCACATAGCTAGTAAGTAGCCAAGTTAACATTCAAAACAGGTCTGTCCTATTCCAAAGTGACTTGGAGAGATAAAAATATTATATTCATGAACCAAGAATAAGATTTCAGGCAAAAGGAATAATGATATTACTAGTATGACTCTAAGAAATTAAAACTTTGATCACTAAAATTAAAAATTCAATAGAAGATTTAGAAGACAAAGTTGAGGATAACTCTCAAAAGTAAAAAAAGAAAAAAATGGCAGGAATAATTAACTGCCTACTGAAGAGTCTTTCTTCCCTTCTGCATAAGTAGCTGAACCCAGATTTTGTTCAGAGTGGCAATATTCTCAGCTAGAAGACTATATTTCCAAGCTTTCTTTTCAGCGAGGTGTCACTAAATTATAACCAATGAGATTTAATGGAAATTGTTAAGTGGGAGTTCTGAAAAAGTTCCTTAAAAGGAGAACAGATAGTTAGAACACTCTTTTCTGTCCTTCATCCTCTCTTCTTCTTGCTGCCTGGAGTCTGGTCAGGAGGGTGGGAGCTCCAGCAGTTATTCAAGGCCATGAGGCAATCCTGAGAACAGAAGCCACCTCTGTTCTGAGAAGAGGAAGGCAAAAAAAGAAAAAGCTGTCTCATTCCCTGTTGATTCTGGAGGAATCATATCAGCCTTGGAATGATTAGCTCTGCTCTTCAAAGAAAGCTTTAATTTTTAAGGTACTGTTGCAATTTATTTTGTAACTTTTTACATTTTTCATTTTGAGTTTTCTGTTATATGCTTGTACCCTAACTAATAATATGAGAAACTATTTTTTTTTAATTAGAGCATCACTTCAGAAAGTCCAGAAGGGTTCTAGAACAGAGAAAACAAAACAGAAAGGGATAAATTATAGAAGAAATAAGAAACTTGACACATTTATGGGTTAAAGCATCAACTGAGTGCTTAGCAAAATGAAAAAGACCTAAAGAAGGTATGTCTCTGTAAAATTTTACAGCTACACAGATAAAGACTCTGAGAGTGTTCAGAAAAACAGAAGGAAAGAAAAAAGCAAACATAGAAGATTACATACATAAGATGAGACCATAAATGGAATAAAACATCTCAATAGCAACACTGAAAGCTAGACGATTAAGAAACTATAAATATAAAACTCTGAATTCTGAACCCAGAATTCTACATCCAAACTATAAAGCCAGCATTACATTAGATGATAACCTTTCCAGATAAGAATTTGGATATTTCACCTCCTCTATATCCTTTCTTCAGAAGCTACTCAAAGATGTATCTCAGCAAGACGAAGGAATAAAACAAGAGGACGGCTTAAGATTGAGGAAACAGGAGCTGTGACCCAGGAAACTGGCACAGCTAAGGCCCAGCATGGCAGCTGAGCAGCAGGCTGAGAGAGCAAACAGTCCAGAAGGCAGAGGACGGAGGACTCTGGATGTGGGAGCACCAAAAAAACCAATAACATAGATAATTTAATATTACTTAGTTGAACACTTGTGGAACACATGGAAAAAATTGAGGTGTACAACTTTAAAGCAAATGAAAACAATGAATTATTTTAATCACGTAAAATATTTATGGAAGCAAAAAATATAGTCATAGTATGTTAACTCTTTGATGGACAATAGTCATTTAATCATCATAATGATTAAACTAAAATTATGCCCTGATTATTTAGGGAGAAGAGGAGAATGGGAAGAGGGTAATATTGGAAAAGAGCTAAATCCTCTTTAGGGCAGAGAGACAGAAAACATTTAAAACTGATAAATCAAGATACGTATCTTTAAAGCTTAATATAGATTATTTAGAATATAATTTTCCAAGAAACAAAAGGAGTGAAACAAGGACTACTACTCTTAAGCGTTTTGTGATGTTTCATGTTTTAAATCTGTATATATGTAACTTTGTGAAAGTCAGACACAACTTAGTGACTAAACAACAACAATGAATATGTTACTTAAGAATAAAAATAACTTTATAAAGAAAAGGATGCTAAAAATTACAAAATAAATTACAACAACCATAAAACAAATATTACCATTTACTGAGCAGAAATTAATAGTGGAGCAGATACTGAACATGTATCACCCCATTCATTGCTTGTAACAGCTCTCATTTTAAGGATAAGAAAATTCATTTGACAACAAGTCTCATTCTCTTAATCCTTGTTCATGAGTAACAGCACATACATGTGGAACTATAGCAAATATAGTTCCCCTCAAAGTATACTTAGAAACCCAACTTAGGGGCTTGCTTTGGCAGCACATATACTAAAATTGGAAAGAAACCCAACTTAATAGTAAACTTGTTTTCTACTCCACTATTGTTTATAAAAAAATATATTGAAAATTAGGCATTGGACTTTGTACATTTCTTGAAGAGATACATTTCTGAGTATTATCTACTTACAAAAAATAGTCTCCTGCTTTCATTGATCTCTTCTTTTTTCTTTCCTTGTTTTTTTTTCATTTCTATTTCATATAATGAGTTCTGTCGCTTTATTTCCTCAGCATCCTTTTCTTCCTCTTTTCTCCTTCTTTCTTCTTCCTCTTCATGTTCTTTTATTCTGAAGAAAAAAAAACAACAACTAAAGTTGAGAGTGAAGCAGAAAAATAGAATATGTTTTAAAGAAATGAATTAGATTCTTACTGGGATGATTTGAAGCTGTAAAGGAAAACTTCCGGATTTCTTTGGGGACAAGAACAGATAGGTAAAGAGCAGTGATAAAAACCAAATCCAAACTTGGTTATCCCAGGGTTGCCAATTATTTTTCTTCCTTCAAATTTGTTTCATTACTCACCAAAATTGAGTCCTACACCAGATTCAAATGTTTCTTTCCTTTAGAAAGAACCAGTTAACTGAACAACAGACAGTATGCTGAAATGGTGACACTTTTACAGAAAAGTCCCTAATCCCTTCTGCTTTTCGATTTTAGCACTACAAGACACTATCTAAGCTATGGACCTGGCCCCTCAGAAAATGGGGTTTGATAGACGGCAACAACTTCCTTACCCTGCAGGCCATTTTGGGTGTGATCCTCTCCCGAGCTAACACTAACTACTGATGCCTTCTGACTGACGCGTCATCAGGTGCTGGTTCCCTCACAGGGCTTGCGAGTGAGCTCTTCAGCAATCCCGGAGCAGCCTCCTCAGTGCAGAGCTCCGACCCGGATTTAGCACCAGCTCTGGCCAGCCCACCCCCCCAGCCCCACGACCATCACAAGCAGCATGTGCCATCAGTGGTTTTACCACAGGTTCTGCCTGCCCGCGTGTGGTAGTCGAGCCTCAGCATGCTGGCAAGACAGCGCCAGCCTGAGGTGTCTGTGTCTATACATCCACGCATCCCGCCCAGCCAAGCGACACATGTTCCTGCCCTCAAGAAGCTTACATTTGGGACTTCCTTGATGTAATCAACCTCATCTATACTTTTTAAGTGTCTTTACAATAATTTTTTTAAGGTTGTCGATCAAAAATCCTCTTTGGGGGGATTTTGGTGTCACAGAGTCCCTCATTTGCCCTGTCCTCATCATGCCCACTGAGAGTCACAGGCAGACTCTCATACTGATTGAAGACAAACAATAAAATAGGCCATATTTTCCAAATACTGATGACAGAAATCTGCACTATGTCTAATAAATTAACATCTAATATATATAAATACACTCATTATCAGCTTTTAATCAATTAATCAATGATTAACATGTACTTCCACATCCCAGGTAGCTCAGTGGTAAAGAATCTGCCTGCTAATGCAGGAGACATAAGAGGTGTGGGTTCAATCCCTGTGTCAGGAAGATCCCCTGGAGGAGGAAATGGCAACCCATTCCGGTATTCTTGCCTGGAAAATCCCATGGACAGAGACTGCCCTGAACATAAATATTAGTAACTGCAATAAAACATTCCAAGGTGAAAGCTATAAAACTCTTAATAATGGGTAATTTTCAGTTATTTACTTATTTATTTTTAGCTGTGTTGGGTCTTGGTTGCTGCTTTTCTCGAGTCACAGGGAGTAGGGGCTACTCCCGAGTCGCCGTGTGCGGGCGTCTCTTGCTGCGGAGCACACTTTGGGTTCAATCCCTGTGTCAGGAAGATCCCCTGGAGGAGGAAATGGCAACCCACTCCGGTATTCTTGCCTGGAAAATCCCATGGACAGAGACTGCCCTGAACATAAATATTAGTAACTGCAATAAAACATTCCAAGGTGACAGCTATAAAACTCTTAATAATGGGTACTTTTCAGTTATTTATTTATTTATTTTTAGCTGTGTTGGGTCTTGGTTGCTGCTTTTCTCGAGTCACAGGGAGTAGGGGCTACTCCCGAGTCGCCGTGTGCGGGTGTCTCTTGTCGCGGAGCACACTCTCTAGGGCACTCAGTCCTCGGGAGCTGCAGTGCAACGGCTCACTGCTGGGCCCTGAGCGCTCCAGCTCTGCTGCCTGTGGGGTCTGCCTGGACCAGGGATCGAACCCGCGTCTCCTGCTCTCGGGTGGATTCTTTACCACTGAGGCACCAAGGGAGCCTAGTAATGGCTGTTTTCGAAGAGCAAAAGGAAAATTAAAGACACTGAATAGAGTGGAAATAAAGAAGAAATTCTAAATTTTCCTCCAAATTTTGTTATATTGCTTGAATTGGAAACAATAGGCATATTATTCATTTACAGTTTGTGAAATTTAAAAGAAAATTTTGAAGAGCAGATGAATATACACTCATATGTTAATAGTGCTTAATCTGGGTCAAGCATTTCTGGTGGTTTTTAATTTATATCCTATTTTATTTAATTATACTTAAAAATAATTAATGATGAATGAATTAATATATAATGCTTAAGTATAAAAATCAAATTTTTTCTTTAAAAATGGTAAAAATGTCCGCCAACAGTATTGTTTATTTGGGGGGGGTACATTAATACAATGTATATATTAATACATTTAAACTATAGTATGAAGAAAATGGTCTCACACAAGGTGGCTGGTGGACAAGGAAAAGACTTTTCACTAAATCCCCTTTGTGCCTCTTCCTATGTGCACGCGTCAGTTATTTAGAAAAGGAAGTAAAATAACACCCAAATATACTCCTCTCCATATGTACAGTAATAGCTACTTTTATTTTATTTTTTAATAATAGCTACTTTTAAAAAATCAGCTTTGATTTCCATTTACCAACATGGCAAGATTTCATGACATACCAGGGGCTTCCCAGGTGGTGCTAGTGGTAAAGAACTGCCTGCCAATGCAAGAGAGACAGCTTTGATCCCTGGGTCGGGAAGATCCCCTAGAGTAGGAAATAGCAACCGACTCCAGTATTCTTGCCTGGAAAACGCCGTGGAGAGAGGAGCCTGGAAGGCTAAAGTCAATGGGGTCGCAGAGTCAGACATGGCTTAGTGACTGAGCCACCAAAGGAGTAACAGTGATTCTTAACTTCTTTCTTTGTATTTTTTCCTACTTACGAGGTATATTAGCATATGTTACTTTTATATATATAATCAGGAAAAAAAAGCTATATCCATTATGAGAAAAAGAAAAACGTATAAAAAAAGGTAATTTATATATACATACTGTTTTAAGTGATCTTTAGCAAGAGCTACTCTATCTCTGCGTTGTTTTTCTGCTTTTTCTCGTTCTTCTTTAAAAGCTTTTTCAACATTGAGTTTCACTTGTTCCTCCCATTTTTTATCTGATTTTATTTTACTCTTTTGGAATTCAATCTGTGCATCCCGCTCTTTCATAACTCTACTAAGAAGTAGTCCTGACTACAAAAAAAAAAAAATTGCAATAGTTTAAGAAAATGAAGTCTAGTTATATACAGATGTGTTAAATATATATAAAATGTAAGAAAACCCAAGTAGTACATGAAAGTTTTTCACTCGTTCTGTCTGGTAAAATTGGTATTGCTTTGCAAGTTCAATGGCCTTTTTCCTTTCTCCTTGTTTGTATATTGCTTCTTCTATATCAAGAATTTGTCTTTCTGCTTCTATTTCTTCATCACGTTTCTTTTTGGCTTCAAGTTTCTGTTCTTTCATCCCCTACAAAAAGATAAAAGCAGTAGTTTGTTTTCATTTTGTAATTTAACCTGACAACATTTAACATTATAATTAGAGCTTTCCCTGAGTATTGTACTTGCACATACCATTAATAAATATGAGGTTATACTTAGGAGCTAATCTTTAATTGAATTTTTTAGGTAAGTAATACATTTACATGGTTCAAATCTAAAATATTACAAAAGTATATAATGGAACTCTCCCTCCAGCCCTAATTTCCACCTGGAATCTCTAAGATTAAACACTTCCCTTCGTTTCTCACATCTACTTCCATAATTCCATTCTATATTTAATAAATAATATTATGAATTTTGTTCCTTCTATTTATTTGTTTTTGGCTGTGCTGGGTCTTCGTTGCTGCGAGGCCTTTTCTCTGGTTGCGGTGAGCTGGGATGACTCTCTAGTTGCGGTGTGAGAGCTTCTCATTGTGGTGGCTTCCCTGGCTGGGGAGCACGGGCTCTAGCACGCGCGGGCTTCAGTAGTTGTGGCTCCCGGCTCTAGACCACAGGCCTGATTGCTCCACAGTACATGGGATCCTCCTGGATCAGGGATGAAACCGTGTCTCCTGCATTGGCAGGCAGATTCTTTACCACTGAGCCACCAGGGAAGTCCTTTAAAAAATCAACAGCAGCACATTTCACATGTTCTTCTACACCCCTGAGGAGGTAGCCAATGTCTCATGTCGATGAAGTCATTTTCTCCTTTATGGGTCATACTTTCTACATCTTAAGAAATTCTCACCTACCCTGAAACCTTGAAGCGATCCTAGGATTTATTTTTAAATGTTCCCTTTTCCACATTTAGGTCTTAAATCCAGCTGAAATTCATTTTTGTATATTCTGTACCATAGGGATATAATTTCATCTTTTCCATATGCCAATTATTTCAGTATCTGTTATGGAATTTCCATCTTTTCCCATCTAATTTGCAATGACATTTCTAGCACATGGGAGGTTCCCACGTCTAACACAGGATTGTTCCTAGGCTCTCTCTGCTGATGGATCATTTTGCCAATCCCTGTGCCTATACTGCAGTTTTTATTATTATGTTTCTACTATATTTACTACATTTTTTTCTTCTTTAACACCCATGAAAGCGTAAAGTATTAGGTGTAGTGTGGTACTTCCGGAAAAAAAAAAACGGGGAGTATATTCCACACCCCCATCTATTTATGGACCAAGGGCTTTTCTAAAATCAAATTTTTTACAGTATATGTTATAGACACTCTTTTAGCATACAGTTTTACAAATGCATAGTCACTTATAGAACAGTTCCATCCTCCCTCAAAATTCCCTCATGTCCTGTGAGAGTCAACAACTCCCCCTATCTGTACCCCCTGGCAATCACTGATCTGTTTTCTTTCCCTGTAGGTTTTGCCTTTTTCATAATATCACATACTATATTACATATATGATATCAGTCATGATGTAACTCTTCCCTCTTTTAGAAAAAAGAGAATTCATAAATTATCAACACTGTTCCTAAAGCAAGGAAAGACAAGATTTCTGTGTCCCCTCCCAAAGATACATAATGTTCCTTGCAACACAGAAAGAAATATGCAAAGTTGGGGGGTAGGGAAAGGTCAGAACTCGCTAAGCAGATATTATGCCTGCACAGAGTTTTAAAAATTCTACTAGAAAACAGGAAAAAATCCTGCCTCTCAGTTCCTTATGATCCAGGCAAGTGCTGTAGTGAGTGGGATGAGAATATCTTTTCCCAGCATTTCTCCCCAGGTGCGATAATAAAAGGAGTCAGAGGACACCTCCCCACTTTGAAGTAGATTCCTACTCATGTTCATAGCACTAAAATGAAGGTTACTGTACCTCTTAGGTAGATAATCTTACGGATGCACAGAGAAGGGCACAGCAAAGACATATATCATTCTTGAAAAAAATGGAATGACAGACAAATCAGAGGCAGATGAAAAGAAGCTGCCTGGATTCCTCAAGAAGCTCCTTGGTTCCTCAGTTTCAAGACCTGTGTTTCTGCACGATCCTCCATCATAACAATAACCAGCATTATCCTGATATCCAAGCCAGCCAAAGACATTTCAAGAAAACCAATATCATTTCAAGAAGACCAATATCCCGCATGAACACATATGCAAAAATTAACATTTTAACAAACTGAAACCATCAAAAAGATAACATATGACCAGCAGACATTTATCCCAGGAATGCAATCTTGCTTCAATGTTTGAATACTGATCAATTCACCATATAACAAAATTAAGAATTAAAACTTCATGATTACACCAACAGAGACAAGCAAAAAAAAAAAGCACTTTAAAAATCAAACATCTGTTCCTGTACAATAAGGCAAAAAGAAAAGAAAGAGAAAGAAAGAACTAAAAGACACCCAGATTGGAAAAGAAGTAAAATTCATAAAAGTGTCTTTACTTTCTGTTGCAGCTCAAATGTCAATATCTGCTTGATGTCCATCCATCAACAACTGAGCATAATAACAAACTGTATTATATCCATACAATGGAATACCGCTCAGCAATAAAATGAATTAATAATTGATACAAAACATGAAAGAATTTCCAAATAATTGTCTGAGTGAAACTTATAATAGACAGCAGATCACTGGTTGCCTGGAGACACTGGAGTTAGCATGGTGAGCAATGAGAGGAAGTAAAATGGGGTACAAGAAAACTTTCTGGGGGGCAATGAATATGTTCATTATCTTGATTATAATAATGGTTGCAGGGGTAAATAGGCACATCCAATCTTAAACTGTACACTTTATCCAGTTTACTGTATGCCACTTATACCTAAATAAAGCTGTTGAAAATGTGTTACAATGCACAGTAACGCTATTTTACATCTTAACAATATTTATAAAAGAGTACTAAGAAGAGTAAGTCTTCAGTGCACATGTACTCTGAGGTGGTTAATACTTACTGCATATGTATTAGTCCAGTGTTTTACCACTTCTTGGGATCGTAAATGCATTTCTTTCTTTGCTTTTCTTTCTGCACGAAGGCATGCTGCTTCTCTTGTCAAACTGTCCAGGCTATCTCGAATCCTTTCCCACTCATTGTGTGGAATTATGGTGACCTGGCGGAGATCTACTTTGCTAGGCAGAAGAGGTGGATAGAGAACTTGATCTTCTTCACAGTTCTTCATTTCTAATAAATTTTTAAAAATGAGTTAAAAACTTCCAAGAAGAGTTTAAGTGATTTTTCACAGACATTTCTATATTGGCATGATATCTGGAAATTGTTTCAAAGAATAATTTTATTCTTGTTATCTCAAGAACAGCTGGGATTAAGTGGAAAGTATGCAAGATTCAAAAATCAGAAGACATAAATTTGAGTCCTTGCTCAGTCAATTCCTTTCTATGTAAACGTGGGCAAGTTATTTAACTTCTTGGAGTCTCAACATCTTCCAAATGAAGATAAAATTTAGCAGTGAGGCTCAGATGCGAACTTCTGAACCAACTGCCAAAATTAAATCTATCAGGTAAATATCTTAGCACGGCACTTTTTTTTTCTTTTTGCTCCCTGGGGTTTGTGGGATCTTAGTTCCTCCACCAGGGAGAGCAACCAGCCCAGGCAGTGAAAGCATCCAGTCCTAACCACTGCACCACCAGGGAACTCCCAGCGCAGTACTTTATATACAGGAAAGTGAATACGTGAGAGCAATTGTGTTTTTTCAATCCACGCCCTTGAGTACTGCCTCCTACATGTCATGATCCTCTGATGGTACTTCTTCAGTTTTCCACAGCATAAATATGCACGAGTGCCCACTGGGTGGGAGAATGGCTGGCTCTCACTTGGCACAAGGAACTCGACTGCTACCGAAGCCATGACAGGAAGAGAGTCTAAGTTCCCAGGGTTCTAATGTCACCATGAGAACATTAATTGGGAATTTCCAGACTTAAGAAACCCAAATCACTGAAATTAATATAGAGTTCTTTAAATGTTCGAAGTTACTTCTATTACAAAGTCGAATTTTTATAAAAGGTCATGTGAGTTAATGCACCTTAAATAGCATTATTTTTACACTCTGATATATCGGACTATATGCCGTAGGGTGAGACATTACCTTCATTCTAGATTTGAAGAAAATGAGGCTTTCCTTCAGACTCTTTCCTAAGAGCACTCAGTAGGTTCACAGTAGAGCCAAGACTCTAATAAGGTCACTTATATTTCCAAAATACATTCCAAGTCACTCAATGAATAAGAAAGCTTAGGTGCGCGAGAATTCAGCAAACACCAGACTTTTGGAGCTGCAACTGCGCAGCTTGAGACCCAGACCAGCTAGTCAACTGTTAAGTTTCTGACTTCTTCTCTACCCTTATTTCTGTAAACTTCCCACCTACACACTCATCCATGGTCAAAACTGTCTAATTTACACGGAGCCCGACGATGCCCACAGTGCTGTTTTTATTTGGTGGAGCCCGTTTCAGAAGGTAATGTACCCTTGCCTCTCACCCTATGCTTGGGAACCAGAAACAATCCCTGTGCCGGGATGGGCCAGTTTAGCTCACCCGTGCTTGCCTTCGCCTGTCCACTGCGCCTTCCGAATCGCACCAGCATCTCTAAGGTGCCCACGGCGTTCTCAGACTTGGAAAGGCGATTTGAAGCGAAACCTCCGCGGCCTCCAGGCGGCAGAGTTTTCACCAAACCACGCAGTTGCTTAGCAACGCCACCGGAAGTGACGGTAATCGTCGCCGAGGAACGAAGAACGCGCAGTTGTAGGCTATGGGGAAGGGAGACTGCGCCTGCGCGGGAAGTCAAGGCCCGGTGTCCGAGTCTGGTGGAACTCTTTTTCAGGCCCCCGGACGAGGCTGGAGGACAGAGTACGCGGGAGCCGCGCCGAGTCTAGCATGGCAGCGGATCCCTGGCTTCGGTCAGTGAGGAGTCCCGGGACCCGGCCGCGCTCGGCCTGATGCTCCCATCGTCATCCTACCCCGCGGGAAACGACACCAAATTAGTTTCCTGCCCGTATTTTCGGGATGTACCGGGCAGGTGTGTGGGAGAACGAGGCCTGGGCTTGGCGCGTGTGGCCCATGGACCTCCTCGCGGGAGTAAGAAGGGCAAAGCCCTGCTCCCTTAACTACGGATACTCAAGAATTAATTGACAGAAAGTCTGTTTTTAAATACTTTGGTTTCTAAGGCATGGTCCGGACTAGATGGGGCGTAATTGTTTTTGTTTTTAAAATCGGAATGTTAAAACTTGGGTTGAAATATTCATGTTATGACCTTTAAGAAATCTTTAATCGCTCAGTAAATACACTACACTAAATTGAATGTATTTGGAGGACCAGTCAGACCTCTAAGGACAAACCTGTTAAGAGTCGATACAGACTTGATTTTCCTTTCCTAACAAATCGAAGTACAAATGATTACAAGCTAGTTGGTTACAACACATACACATTAGGCATCAAATTGGAGTTGTTCAATTTGGTAAGGGAGGTAAGATTTTTAGTCACTAAAGTTCTAACACATAGTCGTACTATTTTTCTTCAGGTTTTCTATCAGATGATCCATCGTAATAATGCTGGTAAGTATGAGAGGATTAATAAAAATACTTGATGACAGAAATATAGTTTTGCACATATAACATTGGTGGGTTTTTGGAAGCATAGTTTTAAAAAAGTAAGAAACTGGTAAGAGAGAGATTTTACTCTGCTTGCATGCTAACAACTTAGCCTGCCACAGTTTTGTAGAAGATGCAGCCCCCTAGATATGTGATGAATTACAGCAGTATCCAGAATATCAGTAATTTTGCCCCAGTTGCCATAGGATGCATGCCTTTCAAAACTGTTCGCTGTACATAACATTTTTGAGACAACAGTCCAGAGCAAAGGGCAGTGAGTACCTTGCTTACAAGATATGCAGAACCACTAGAGACCCAAGGAGATGACCTCTCAACAAAAATTCTGTGGAATTTTAACTGAATTGGTTACAAAAAGTATTGAATCTTACAAGATTTGGTGTCAGTAATTTGCCAATTTGACATAATGTTCAGTTATGATTTCACTTAACAGCACTTGGTTCTAACTGGTACATGGATGTTTACAGCCAAGTGTATCTAAAATTATTTACCCACTATGACCTCCACTCCTTTTTTTTTCCCTTTGTTGTGAAATTAAGAAGGTAGCATATGCACTTTGAAACAGAGCTTAAATTATTTGGAGGGGAACACCTTTATTACAAAATCAGTGTAGAAACTGCAGTTGAGGCTACCACTGTACACAGATATTTCTTTTTTAAAAACAAAAATGAGATTATACTGTAAACACTCTTGTGACTTGTTTGTTTAATTTGAACATCTTAACCTTTTACCGCTGAAATAGATGTTCTGTTATGTGACTATCACGTGCATATCTTATTTAAGCAGTTCCCTATTCTAGTTTTCATTATTGGAACTTATATTCACATAACATTCCCTGTTTTGTATTTAAACTTTTTGTTTAAACAAAATTTTATTTCTCCCAGTGCCAGTAGGTGCTTTTCTGATGTAAAAGAAAGCATATTAGAAAACATAAATTTTAAAATGTCTTAAATTCTTTTATTTTACAATTTAAAAAGTCTCCATTCCCTTGCTCCAAACCAGAAGACTTTTTCCCCTGCATATAGCATAGGAGTAATGTTGGTTAGAAACTGGCGGGTGTTTAAAGATGAAGATAGTCATTACTATTTAACCTAAGCTGTATGCTGAAGGAAGATTGTCTTGGAAATACTAAACTGGGTAAGTATTTTTTTTTAAAAAGGTTTGTGTTGAGTGGTGGGGAAAAAAACTAATAGAAAAAGATCTGAAATAAGGGAAAGTACAGTTGATAAAAATTAATAGTTAGCATTGAAATTGAGTTAACATGGAACTTTGTTAACTTCAGGATTATGATACATCTTATTTAGAGGTTAATATTGCATGGATTTTAGTAACTTATGGCTAATTAAGTCTAAGCTTAAAACACTTTTCAACCCACAGTGAGTTGCATTTGCAAAAATTTTAAAATTATGTATAAATTCAGAACGCCTAAAAAGCATTTTAATTTAAAATGTGCTTAGGTGCGGTTCTAATGGGATTGTCAACTGTGCTTTATTGTTATTTATTACATTGTTTCTAGGGAAAGTGAATTCTGCACTTAAATCTCTGAAAGCCAATCAGAGACCCCTGGATAGACATTTAGAGATTCAAGGATCCAGACTATCAGAATATTTTATGCCATCTAAATGCATGTAACAGGAGATATAATCTCTCAGTTAGTTGTTCTCTAGATTTTCTAAATTCAGAGACCAAAAATGCTTACTAGTATGTGAGTCATGAGCTCTAGCCTCAGTTTCAATTACTGCATATCTATCATAAACCAGAGAATACATATAGATATGATCATGTGTGGCTTAGATGGTAAAGAATGTGCCTGCAGTGCGGAGACCAGGATTTGATCCCTGAGTTGGGAAGATCCCTTGGAGAAGGAAATGGCAAACCACTCCAGTATTCTTGCCTAGAAAATCCTTTGGACTGAGGAGCCTGGCAGGCTACAGCCCATGGAGTTGCATGGTCAGACACGACTGAGCGACTTCCTTCACTCACATATAGATAAATATCATGTTTTCTATTTTTAATTGATCTCTTCTTTTTTCTTTTTGCTGAGGTTCTTCATTTTTCTTTTTGGAACTTCTTACTAAAACCTCAGAATGGTTGTAAAGTAGATCACAGATACAATGTCATGGTTAGTGTATACATTGAAATTAATGAGTGTTTTTATATTTAACATCTTTTCATCAAATTGGCTTACTTAGTATTTTATTTTAAACTGATTAATAGTCTTTATTCTATTTCTTAGGCACTAGAATGTGTTACTAAAGCATGAACTTTGGAGTCAGGCAGACTTGAATCCAAATTCTAGCTCTGCCATTTAACTAATACTTAACCAACTTAATACTTGAGCTCCTGTTTACATATCTTTAGGTGTGCTTAGAAGCTTAGTCGTGTCTGACTGTTTGTGACCCCGTAGACTGTAGCCCACCAGGCTCTTCTGTCCATGGGAATTCTCGAGGCAAGAATACTGGAACGGGTTGCCTTGCCTTCCTGCAGGGGTTCTTTCCAACCCAGGAATGTAACCCAGGTCTCCTGCATTGCAGGCTGATTCTTTACTGTCTTTGAGCCATCAGGGAAGCCCTTACATATCTTTAAGATGAAGATAATAATAATTCCTACTAAATGAGCTTCTGACAGTTAAATGAGATGGTGAGATTGTGAGGTTTTTAGTCCAATGTCTTAGTCCAGATATCTCAAAAAATATCAATTACTCTTTTACAAAAATTGTGTTTTTTTTAGTTTACAGACATTAATTGCAACTTTTCCTGCAATTCTGTATAATTTTCCTATAATTCTGTATAGTTACCTTTTTTACATGTTGATATTCATACCATCTATGACCAGTTTGTTCTTTCTTTTTCTCTTGAAATTTACAGCTAATGACCTTCATTATCTTTTAATGAAAACAGAGACTTGAGTAATTGTCATATCAAAAGCAGTGTGATTACTCACTTATATCCAGATTATTTGGCACTCCAGAACTAAACTATCTAGAGAAAATATAAATAAATGTGGTTTTGTTAACACAAGTTATTTCTAGTCTGGGAGAACTTAATCCACTTCCAGTTCAAGTAATTTGTTTAGAATTTCAGGTACAGCATCAAGCAACCATTTGATTAACATTGGCAATGATTTCAAGCTAAAAACCTTTTTAGAAAAGTTATTTAAGGTTTACAAGATTTCACATTATGTTAAATTTGGTCAGAATTTTGGTTAGTTCACAGAGAATCTGTATTGTACATGACCTATTATTTAGCATGAAGATTATTGTAAATATTTTAAACTAATAAGTTTGTGATCAATAATTTAAAGACAATAAGAATGATTAGCCTACATTTTTCTGGTCTTATTTTACAACTTTTCTGAATTAAACTTGAAGGGAATAATTGTTTTAATTGCTTCTCTCGTTGAATTGCTCTATAGTTTAATTCTGAGTGCTCAAAGAATCACTTCCTCAAGAACACAATAATATCATGAGTATCCTTTTTAGCTATTCTGTTTTCTATTCATTTAACCTACTCAGATATGAACTTTGCTTAGGAAAAAGTGCTTAAATAGTGGGTCTTAATAGTGCTTGGTCATTTTAACTTGTTATCATCCTTTGTTTTTTAGCAGATTAAGAGTTGTTAGATAGATAACTACAGCTAGGTGGGGCTTCCCTGGTGGCTCAGATGGTAAATAATCTGCCTGCAATGTGAGAGACCCAGGTTCCATCCCAGGGCGGGAAGATCCCCTGGAGGAGGGAATGGCTACCCACTCCAGTGTGCTTGCCTGGAGAATTCCACGAACAGAGGAGCCTGGTGGGCTACAGTCCATGAAGTTGCAAAGAGTCAGACACGACTGAGTGACTAATACTTTCACACTTCACCTCATAGCTAGATATATAAAACAACATATGGTTAGGAAATAACATTTCTTCTTTTCCAGGGTAACCCAAATCTGTTTCTGGAACCATGAAAATTTTGTTGGTTTTTGACTTTGACAATACAATCATAGATGATAATAGTGACACCTGGATTGTACAGTGTGCTCCAGAGAAAAAGCTTCCTATTGAACTGCAAGATTCTTACAAAAAGGGATTTTGGACAGAATTTATGGGCAGAGTCTTTAAGTATTTGGGAGATGAAGGTGTAAGAGAAGATGAAATGAAGAGAGCAATGATATCAATGCCTTTCACTCCAGGGATGGTGGAACTTTTAAACTTTATAAGAGAGAACAAGAATAAATTTGACTGCATCATTATTTCAGATTCAAATTCAGTCTTCATAGATTGGGTTTTAGAAGCTGCCAATTTTCATGATGTGTTTGATAAAGTGTTTACAAATCCAGCAGCATTTGATAGCAGTGGTCATCTCACTGTGGAAAAATATCACACTCATTCTTGCACTCGGTGCCCCCAAAATCTTTGCAAAAATGTAGTTTTGGTAGAATTTGTAGGTGAGCAGTTACAACAAGGAGTCAATTATACACGAATTGTTTATATAGGTGACGGAGGAAATGATGTCTGTCCAGTAACTTTTTTAAAGAAGAACGATGTTGCTATGCCACGGAAGGGATATGCGTTACAGAAAACTCTTTATAGGATGTGTCAAAATCTTGAGCCTATGGAATCTTCTGTTGTATCTTGGTCTTCAGGTGTTGAAATAATTTCTTATTTACAATTTCTAATAAAGGAATAATATGCCAACAATTGAAATGTGTATCAGTTAAGATTAGATACAGCAGCATAAAACTCCAAATAACAGTGGCTTTAAAAAAGAGAGTTTTTCCTCTCACTTAAAAGAATTTCAGAATTTAGTATCACAAAGTCTGTCTGCTCTACCAACCTCAGCACTTGGCTTCCAACTCATGATCCAAGATTGCTGTTCAAACTCCATCTGTCACATCAACATTCTGGCCAGCAAGGAGGATAGTGAGAGAAGGTTGCAACCTCATTTAAATTTCATTGGTCAAAACTTACAATACCTAACTATGAGGAAGGATGAAAAATGTAGCTTTATTCCAGATGGTAATATGCCTAGGAGAAATTGGGGGAAATGGAGTACAAAATTGAGGTAAGTGCAACTAGTGGTCACTACCAAAGATGGTTAATAGACAGATTATATTTTTAAATTTATTCCCAGAGAGAATAGTCTGAGTTTCACTTAGGTATTTATTTCGAAAGCATATCTAGCAGCTACAGATCTTAAAAATATAGCCTAATTCTTAATTTACATAAGGATTCACTAGTTCCAAATCAATTAATTTTAGAGATAAGAATTCATTATCTTGCCCCAGTTTTCATCAATTTCACAATTTCCTTTTGAAATGAAATACAAATTAATGTTCTTCAAATATTTTATTTATTTATTTTTTACTTGAACTTCGTATATTTGAAATACAAATGAACAAGGGAAATTCACACAATTGATAAATGATAAGTAATATGCTTTGGGTGTAGGACTGCAAATCCCGTTTCTCAGAAGACTTTGAACAATGCATTTTATAAAAAGAAAAAAATTACTACAAATGATTACAAAAATGGAGAATGAACAGTTTATGTAAAGGATAAGCCTTGTGAAACAAAATCACTCATGCTAAAACTTGCTGAACATTATAAGTTCAAATGATATTAATTTTCTAAATCTTTGAAAGGCCAAATATTTTATTTATTCATTTTTTGAAAGGCCAAATACTTTATTTTATTTATTCAAAGTATTTTTATTTTTTATTTTATTTTTTATGGTATTTATTCAAAGTATTTTTAATTTATTTCCTCTTCTAGAACTAAGTCAGGAATAAGTTTGGAGAAGTGATTGGAATGTCATTTACAGAAGCAAATATTTTAAATTAATATCATCATCACAGACTATAACTCCAGAATGCTGATTTAATCAGTATGTTATTACTGTTTGGCAGTTAAGTATTGAGTGATGTAATACATAATTTGTAGAAATATTCAGCATTTAAGAAGCTGTTTCATATAGGGATATTAGCAAAATGTCAACTGACCTAGAAAGTTTTGTAGTACCATGTTAATTTCTAGGTTCACATGTTGTAGGCATAAATATTTGTTATATAAAAATGTTAGGATTTTGTTTTCCATATGGAAAGCTCCAGAAATAAAAATGTTCAATGTATTTTTATGGGAAAAAAATTGGTACTTTTATTTTTTTCCAAGTTGAGAAAGTAAACTTTGTCTCGCTTTAAATTAACTGGTTAGATTATGTTGAAACACTGTTATAAATTGGGATTTCTCTACAAGTTGAAGCAAATGATAAATTATAGATGTTAAAAAAACCATAAGACTTTCTTCTATAGTTGTTATAGATCGAGTAATTTGGACCAGATCTTATACAGCTTGCATCTGGAAAGCTGATAATTAAACAAATTTTTTAAATATCTGCTTAAAGACATGAGAGAGCTGATGATGATAAACAGTTACTAAGGAACCCTAAAAACAAGTAGTGAGCAACTTTTCCTGAAAGGGCTGGGCATTCTCTGAATGGTATCTGAGATGCTAAGTTGCTATCTTGACAATCTTATTGGGACCTGAGGGAAGAGGTATTGAAGTATGAGGCCTGCAGTGATAAACTCTTCCTCTTTGAATAATGATCCCAAAAGGCTGCCCATGATGTGTAACAGTGACCTGCTTGCTTCTTACTTAACAGAAGTAAGCAGGGCTTCAAAGGGCAGGCAGCTCACCTCTGAATACTCTCAATCCCTGAAATCAGACTGAAGTTATCTACAGTTTTTAGAGTTCCCAGATGCTTGGCTAAAGCAAATCTGAACTGTCTTACGAGGAAGTTACTATCCTTAGTATGGTGAGCAGTCTATAAGGTAACCCCCCATAATCTCTATAAGCTGGTTTTGGCTCTTTGTATGTGTGGAGAAGGTGATAGGACTTGCTTCTGATCAATGCATTACCACAAAGATGATGGGATATGTTATTAATGTGTATATGATTATATTATGTCAGATTCTTATGTTGATCTTAAGAAACTCTCTCCCTTGGTGATTTTGAAGAAGCAAGCTGCCATGTTGTGAACTGGCCTTCCGAGAGGGCCACATGGCAAACAACTGAGGGTGGCCTCTAAATGATAACAAGAAGTAGGTCCTAGGTCCAAAAGTCTGCAGAAAACTGAATACTGCAACCATGTGAGTTTGGGTAGTGGAACCTCAGCTGAGATCATAGCTCAGGCTAACACCTTGATTTAGCCTTGTAAGACCCTGAAACAGGCCCTTTTGAGCTATGCTTGGACTCCTGATGTACAGAATATTGTTTAGTCGCTAAGTTGTGTTTAGTTGCTAACTCTTTGTGACCCCATGGACTCCAGCATGCCAGACTTCCCTGTCCACTGTCTTCCAGAGTTTGCTTAGGCTTGTGTCCATTGAGTTGGTGATGCCATCCAACCATCTTATGCTCTGTTGTCCCCATCTCCTGCCTTCGATTTTTCCCAGCATCAGGGTCTTTTCCAATGAGTCAGCTCTTCTCATCAGGTGGCCAAAGTATTGGAACTTCAGCTTAGCACCAGTCCTTCCAATGAATATTCAGGGTTAATTTCCTTTAGGATTGACTGGTTTGATCTCCTCGCTGTCCAAGGGACTCTCAAGAGTCTTCTCTTGACACCACAGTTTGAAGGCGCTCAGTATTATTTATTGTTCAACTCTCAAATCTGTACATGACTACTGGAAAAATCATAGCTTTGACTATATGGACCTTTGTCGGTAAAATGATGTCTTTGCTTTTTAATACACTGTAGGTTTGTCATAGCCTTCCTTTCAAGGAGCAAGCATCTTTTAATTTCGTGGCTGCAGTTACCATCTGCAATTACTTTGGAGTCCAAGAAAATGAAATCTGTCACTGCTTCTTCTTTTTCCCCTTCTGTTTGCTGTGAAGTGATGGGATTAGTTGCCATAATCTTAGTTTTTTGAATGTTTAGTTTAAGCCAGCTTTTTCACTCTTCTTTCACCATCATCAGGAGGCTCTCTAGTTCCTCTTCACTTTCTGCCATTAGAGTGGTATCATCTGCATATCTGAGTTTATTGATATTTCTCCTGGCAATTTTGATTCCAGCTTGTGATTTATCCAGCCTGGCATTTCGCATGATGTATTCTGCATATGCGTCAAGTAAGCAGGGTGACAATATACAGCCTTGTACTTCTTTCCCAATTTTGAACCAATCAAATCGTCAGGTTGTTCCATGTAATGTTCTAACTGTTGCTTCTTGACCCACACACAGGTTTCTTAGGAGACGAAAGGTGATCTGGTATTACCATCTCTGGTAATTTCCCACAGTTTGTTGTGATCCACATAGTCAAAGGCTTTAGTGTAGTCAATGAAGCAGAAGTAGATGTTTATCTGGAATTCCTTGCCTTCTCTATGATCCAACGAATGTTGGCAGTTTGGCCTCTGGTACTTTTGCCTTTTCTAAACCTAGCTTGTACATCTGGAATTTTTCAGTTCACATACTGCCAAAACCTAGCTTGAAGGATTTTCAGCATAACCTTGCTAGCATGTGAAATGAGTGCAATTGTCCAGTAGTTTCAACATTCTTTGGCACTGCCTTCTTTGGAATTGGAATGAAAACTGACCTTTTCCAGTCCTGTGGCCACTGCTGAGTTTTCCAAATTTGCTGACATATTGAGTGCAGCATTTTAACAGCATCGTCTCTTAGGATTTGAAATAGCTTAACTAATTCCATCACCTCTGCTAGCTTTGTTTGTAATAAGACCCACTTGATTTCACACTCTAGGATGTCTCACTCCCTAGGTGAGTGACCACATCTTTGTGTTTATCCCGATCATTATAGAATATATGAGATAATATATATTGTTTGAATATGCTAAGTTTGTGCTAATACTGTTTGTAGCAATGCCAAATTAATGCAGTAGGTTGCAAAATCTGAACAGTTTTGTAAGTATATTGTAGGGCACATGGTAAAAAGTAGCCACACCAATAGATAAAAATGAACACCAGCAGAAGCTTTTACTTAAACATATCTGCATGACCTTCAGGAATTGGAGTTTTCAGATACAAACTAAACTTGTGAGAATTTTGGCAGAGCTGAAAATTACATAATTTGGAAATAATAGAACTAAAATTACCATGACTAAAATTAGAATCTTGATGGATGGATTTGATAATAGAATAGGCATAGCTCAAGAGAGAACTAGTGAATAAACACAAGTTAGAAGAAAATACACGAATATGGCAGAGAAAGACAATGAAAATGCAGAAGAGAAATTAAGAGGTAGAAGATATAGCAAGATCTAACATAGTAAATTGGTATCTCAGAAAGAAAGGAGAAAATGAAACAAGCAATATATTTGAAGATAACGACTGAGAACCTTATAAAGTTGACGAAAGACATCAAACCACATGTTCAAGAGTTCTTATGAACCACAAACAAGAAAATGAAAACCACATGAAATCACATCCTTTTAAAACTACCAATAATCTATGATGGAAAAAGCATAAAGTAGCTGAAGGGGGGGAAAAGATGACTTTGAAAAGAGCAACAATTATAACAGCTGATATTTTCTTAAATGTTTGATAAAGTTGAAGAGTGAAGACATTTAAACCTGGAGTTCTCTTTGTTGGAAGATTTTTAACTACTCATTCAATTTCCTTAATTGTTTATAGATTCAGGTTGTATAGTATTTCTTGAGTAAGCTTTGGCAGTGTGCGACAGTATTTGTTACCTTTTGCTGCAT